GTTAATTGAGGAGAGTGACTGAATGTCTCAAAAGCTGTTGCTGGGATTAAGAGAACTAAATGCGGAAGGGAGGGGGGGGGGGTGAACCCTGGAACATTGTCTACAAAATTCAAGAAAGCCTGAAAAGCAACTAAGGGTGCATCTACCCTGTAGAATTAATGCAGTGTGACACCACTTTAACTTTTGTTGTTCATTTGTTCAGTCATCTCCAACTCTTCGTGACCTCATGGACCAGCCCACGCCAGAGCTCCCTGTCGGCCGTCACCACCCCCAGCTCCTTCAAGTCAGTCCAGTCACTTCAAGGATGCCATCCATCCATCTTGCCCTTGGTCAGCCCCTCTTCCTTTTGTCTTCCACTTTCCCCAGCATAATTGTCTTCTCTAGGCTTTGCTGTCTCCTCATGATGTGGCCAAAGTACTTCAATTTTGTCTCTAATATCCTTCCCTCCAGTGAGCAGCCGGGCTTTATTTCCTGGAGGATGGACTGGTTGGATCTTCTCGCAGTCCAAGGCACTCTCAGAACTTTCCTCCAACACCACAGTTCAAAAGCATCTATCTTCCTTCGCTCAGCCTTCCCTAAGGTCCAGCTCTCACATCCGTAGGTTACTACAGGGAATACCATGACTTTGACTAGGCGGATCTTTGTTGCCAGTCTGATGTCTCTACTCTTTACTATTTTATCGAGACTGGACATTGCTCTCCTCCCAAGAAGGAAGCGTCTTCTGATTTCCTGGCCACAGTCTGCATCTGCAGTAATCTTTGCGCCTAGAAATACAAGTCTGTCACGGCCTCCACGTTTTCTCCCTCTATTTCCCAGTTGTCAATCATTCTTGTTGCCATAATCTTGGTTTTTTTGATGTTTAGCTGCAACCCAGCTTTTGTGCTTTCTTCTTTCACCTTGATTAGAAGGCTCCTCAGCTCCTCCTCGCTTTCGGCCATCAGAGTGGTGTCATCTGCATATCTGAGGTTGTTAATGTTTCTTCCAGCAATTTTCACCCCAGCTTTGCATTCATCAAGCCCCGCACATCGCATGATGTGTTCTGCATACAAGTAAAAGAGGTTGGGTGAGAGTATGCAGCCTTGCCGTACGCCTTTCCCAATCTTGAACCAGTCTGTTGTTCCGTGGTCAGTTCTGTTGCTACTTGGTCCTTGTACAGATTCCTCAGGAGAGAGACAAGGTGGCTTGGTATGCCCATCCCACCAAGAACTTGCCACAATTTATTATGATCCACACAGTCAAAGGCTTTAGAATAGTCAATGAAGCAGAAGTAGATGTTTTTCTGAAACTCCCTGCCTTTCTCCATTATCCAGCGGATATTGGCAATTTGGTCTCTCGTTCCTCTGCCTTTTCTAAACCCAGCTTGAACATCTGGCAACCCTCTCTCCATGTATTGCTGGAGTCTTCCTTGCAGGATCTTGAGCATTACCTTACTGGCATGAGAAATAAGGGCCACTGTACGGAAGTTTGAGCAGTCTTTCGCATTTCCCTTTTTTGGTATGGGGATATAAGTTGATTTTTTCCAGTCTGATGGCCATTCTTGTGTTTTCCATATTTGCTGGCAATGGCATGCATCACCTTGATAGCATCATCTTTTAAGATTTTAAACAGTTCAGCTGGGATCCCGTCGTCTCCTGCTGCCTTGTTGTTAGCAATGCTTCTTAAGGCCCATTCAACCTCACTCCTCAGGATGTCTGGTTCTAATTCATTCACCACACCGTCAAAACTATCCTCAATATTATTATCCTTCCTATACAGATCTTCTGTATAGTCTCGCCACCTTCTCTTGATCTCTTCAGCTTCTGTTAGGTCCCTGCCATCTTTGTTTCTTATCATGCCAATTTTTGCCTGAAATTTACCCCCAATGTTTCTAATTTTCTGGAAGAGGTCTCTTGTCCTTCATATTCTGTTGTCTTCTTCCACTTCCATGCATTGCTTATTTAAAAATAGTTCCTTATCTCTTCTGGCTAACCTCTGGAATTGCGCATTTAACTGGGCATATCTCCCTTATCCCTGTTTCCTTTTGCTTTCCTCCTTTCTTGGGCTACTTCCAGTGTCTCAGCAGACAACCATTTTGCCTTCTTGGTTTTCTTTTTCTTTGGGACGTACTTTGTTGCCGCCTCCTGAACAATGTCTTGGACTTCTGTCCATAGTTCTTCTGGGACTCTGTTTACTAAATCTAGTCCTTCAAATCTGTTCTTCACTTCCACTGTATATTCGCTAGGAATGTTAGTGAGATCATATCTAACTGGTCTGTGTATTTTCCCTGATCTCTTTAGTTTTATTCTAAATTGAGCAATAAGAAGTTCGTGATCTGAGCTACAGTCAGCCCCAGGTCTTGTTTTCACCGACTGGATGGATGTCCGCCACCTTTGGCTGCAAAGGATGTAGTCAATCTGATTTCGGTGCTGACCATCTGGTGAAGTCCATGTGTAAAGCCGTCTTTTAGGTTGTTGGAAGAGAGTGTTTGTTATACACAGCGAGTTTTCCTGGCAAAATTCTATCAGCCTGCGTCCCGCTTCATTTTGTTCGCCCAGACCATGCTTGCCTGTGATCCCAGTTGTCATTTGACTTCCCACCTTGGCATTCCAGTCTCCTGTAATGAAAATAATGTCTCTTTTTGGTGTATTATCCAGTAGTTCCTGCAGATCCTCATAGAACTGATCTATTTCTGCTTCTTCAGCAGCTGTGGTTGGGGCGTATATTTGGATCACTGTGATGTTGAAAGGCTTTCCTTGCACTCAAATTGAGATCATTCTGTCATTTTTTGGGTTGTATCCAAGCACCGCTTTAGCGAATTTCTTATTAATTATGAAGGCTACTCCATTTCTTCGATGTTCCTCTTGTCCGCAGTAGTAGATCTGGTGGTCATCTGATGTGAAGTGGCCCATTCCAGTCCATTTCAGTTCGCTGACCCCCAGAATGTCTATCTTTAGTCTTGACATCTCACCAATAACAACATCCAATTTGCCCTGGCTCATAGATCTTACATTCCAGGTTCCTATGGTGTGTTGATCTTTAGAGCATCGGATTCGTCGGTTCACCTCCAGTACCGTCGGCCGCTAGCCTTCCTTTCGGCTTTGAGCTAGCTGCGTCATCACATCTGGGGCTAGTTGAACTTATCCTCTGCTCCTCCCCAGTAGCATTTTGGCCATCTTCCGACCTGGGAGTCCCATCTTCCAATGGCATACCGACATATCTCTGGTTGTACTGGTCCATTTAATTTTCTTGGCAAGGATACTGGAGTGGTTTGCCATTGCCTTCCCCAGGGATCACGCTTGGTCTGACCTCTCTGCCACGACCGTCCCGTCTTGGGTGACCCTTCACGGTTTCGCTCATGACATCATTGAGGTGCTCAAGCTCCAGCGCCACAGCAAGGCAGTGATCCTTTGCTAGAGCCACTTTAACTACCATGGCTCAATCCTATGGAATCATGGGAGCTGTAGTTTACAAGAGCTGTATCCTTTCTGTCAAAAGGTACTAGTGTCCCACCAAACTAGAACTCCTAGGAGTCCACAGATTTGATCAATGACAGTTAAAATGATGTCAAACTGCATTAACACTCCAATGAAGATGCACCCTTGGAGTGAAATGCACTCGGCTTCAGGTGCCCAAAGCAGTGGATGTGACAGCTTGCTGTGGCTCTCCAACGGAGCTCAAAATGGGGCAAGCCCACTCCAGAATGATCCACTCAGTCAGTAGGACTAAAATTCCAGCCCATGAAAGAACTTTATTCAAAGGCTGCCATCATGTTCAGTAGTTAATGAGATTGTAAGGTGGAATTATAATCTTGTAACTTTGGGGGGTTCGTGTTTACAGTTGATAGTGACTGAACTAAACGGCTAAACGGTTCCGGCCCCACTTATCTCTCCGAACGCATCTCCGCCTATGAACCGACGAGGATGCTAAGATCGTCCGGGGAGGCCCTGCTCTCGGTCCCGCCAGCATCACAAGTGCGGCTGGCGGGGACGAGAGACAGGGCCTTCTCGGTGGTGGCCCCTCGGCTATGGAATGCCCTACCAACGGAGATCAGACAGGCCCCGTCGCTACTGGCGTTTAGGAGGCGGGTGAAGACGTGGCTCTTCGAACAGGCGTTCGGATAAGCATGCAATTAACATCTGACTCAGAAAGACGGCATACTGAACAAGGAATGGTAAAACGACTGTGAGATTTGGATCTGATTCTATTCGAGGCGTGATGACGTTATGTGTATTGTCTGTGGATGTTTGTCACATGTATTGTTCAATGTTGCACTTTTTTACTGTAAACCGCTTAGAGTCGCCTTTTTTGGCTGATATAGGCGGTATACAAAAGGAGTAAATAAATAAATAAATAAATAAACTTAAACCACAACATGTGCTGTATCAATGTGACAGCACCTCAACTGAAGGCTTTCTGAACACTGCAGGTCAAAGTGCAGTGAAATGACATTTGCAGCACTCCCCCAGGCAAGGGATGCACTGAGACAAGGAGTTGCGACAGAAGCCCAATGGACCCAGTAACTTTGAAGAGTACTACAGATGTCATTATTAGTACCCTGATCTGCAGACCCTTTGATTGGGATGTTGTCAAACTGGAAAAAAATGCTAGGGTAGCATCATCAGAACTAACCATGACAGTGTAGCTCCTAGTTCTGATGCACGATGCCAGCTAGAGTATCTTAAAACACTGGGGATGCAAGGAGTTGGAAATTTTCAATTCTAGCTGAATTTTGCTGATGTCATAACTGAATCCCACAGCAGTGTCTGTGAACATTTATCTGTCCAAATACTGGAATGTAAGGCCATACAGGGTATAGCCCTTTGGATCTTAGTCAAGGTATTTATTCGTATGTGTCCTTTCATCGCATTGTTTGTCTTACATTTTTCATCAGAGCTTTCACCAGAGTAACTACTACCAAGTACGGACAGGGTTAAAAATGCAGCTACACTGCAGCATATATGGCAAATAGCTTTGCTGCCATCTTCACAGATAGAAAGACATGTTTCTCCTCATTTCCTAACCTTTATCATCTCTTCGTGAATGCCATAGTGCCCATAGGAGCTGAAGTAAACATCCTCCTCGCCTTCCTGAAGGTCCGCAATGCTGCTGACTGATGAGCCACTTCTGACTTCTGTGTTCATCACAAAATCCTGGGCAAATTGTCTGTAATCAGTTTGAAACATACCCTTGAGATACAGGGATGGGACCATTAAAAAGGCAGGGAATGTATGGAGAGGAAGCAGAGTTTTTATAGAGCAATCTTGTTTTTACAGAGCAAAGCTCCCTCTGCTGGCTGCTGAGCAGAAATTTCCTACTTAAAACTTTAGTGCAGGTTGAGTACCCAGTATCTGAAATGCTTGGGAGCAGAAGTGGGCTGAAAAGGGTGGTATACAAAATATAGTAAATAAATAATAATAAATAAGTGTTCTGGATTTCATATTTTTTTTAGTTTTTAGAATATTTGCATATATATCTGATATCTTGGGTATGCAACTCAAGTTTAAACACAAAATTAAATTTTGTTTCATACACCTTATGCATAAACCTGACAGCAATTTTATACACATATTTTAATACTTTTGTGCATGAAAAGAAGTTTAGAAAGAAAGGTGTTAATAGATCAGCCTTACACTGGAAAACCTAGAAATTCTTAGAGAGAATATATTTAGACAAATCCATGAACAATCATATCCACAAATTTGGTGGGCCGAGTGTATGTTGTTAATAAAACTACCTGTACTTTCATCTCACTCTCTACGTTCCCTTACTTTCAAATGATTCTGGGGTAAGTTTAAAGCAATGTGATAAAGTTAAGAAGCACTATATATGGACTGTCAGCAAAAATTGCTATTTTAGACCATCGCTTTTCCAAGTAGTAAACTCAGCCTTACAAAGAATGATTTGGCAGAAAACCTTGTATTGCTGGCAACACATATATTAAAATGTTATGGAAAATCTACTGTCTTCTCTCCCATCTATTCAGTTAAACTAATACCATATATACTTGAGTATAAGCCAACTCAAACATAAGTCAAGGCACCTAATTTTACCACAAAAAAATTGGGAACACGTATTGATTCGAGTATAAGATGAGGTGGGAAATGCAGCAGCTACTGGTAAATTTCAAAATAAAAATAGATACCAATAAAATTACATTAATTGAGGCATCAGTGGATTAAATGTTTTTGAACATTTCCATAAAACTGCAATTTAACATAAGACTGTCCAATTCTTATTAAACCATTGTTCTAACCTTCTTCAATGTAAATGTGCTTATGTATCCTTCCAATAATAAAGAGAGCAAAATAATAAATGTAATAATAACAGTAATAGAGCAAAATAATAAATATAATAACAATAGAGTAAAATAATAAATGTAATAAAAATAATAGAGTAAAATAATGTAAATGTAATAATAATAATAATAATAATAATAATAATAATAATAATAAAGTAAAATAATAAATGTAATAAAAATAATAACAGAGTAAAGTCATAAATAACCTTGACTCGAGTATAAGCTGAGGGGGGCTTTTTCAGCCTAAAAAAGGGGCTGAAAAACTTGGCTTATACTAGAGTATATCTGGTATGTTGTTGAACTTCCAGTGGCCTTTAAAGACAATCATCAACCTAGTTTAATATAACACATTCAAGATTGCTGCCAAGATTCTGCAACAAGGAAAAAAAAAACCTTCAGTCAAATCGATACCTCATTTTTTGAAGATCCTCTTGGGCTCTGGCCAATGCAGCTTCTGCCCGTTCTGCTCTATGCTCTGCCCATTTCAAACGCTCAAGGAGCGATGAAGCCTCAGGTAGACCATTAGGACAAGGCATATTAGTACAATCAAGAAGATCATCTATATCTGGAAAAGAACCAGAAGAAGTTTGTTGTCATGTAATGCGGGCATCGAATTGCGCCTTGTTGTGTAAGCCGCCCTGAGTCCCCCTTGGGGTGAGAAGGGCGGGGTATAAGCGACCGTAATAAATAATAAATAAGTTACCAAACAAAGTTTAAGCTCTATCAAAGTTTGAGTATCCAAAGTATATGGTTTCTGTATGCCAAAGGAAACTCTGGACTATGTTTGTAAATCCTCAGGCTCCACTCCTGAATGAAGAAGTAACAACATGGAAAACCTCCTCTGGCAGAAGAAGTTATTATTACATAGTAAAATTTGCCAAAGGCTGAGATGAAGCCATTTTCACATGATACTTCTTCACAGATTCGGCCCAATCCTCAACCTACACAAGAATATATTTCATATACAGTGTAACTCTTCTAATTAGAGATTAATTCCCAGTATGTTTCCCTGTTGTCAAATTATCTTCTTCCTGTTGAACAAAAGAGATTAAGACAAAAGTGGGACCAGCTCGCTTTGTGGGACACATTCAAGATAGCCATGAAATTCTCAATTCTGTGTAAAAAGATGAGTCTCAGCTTGGATGTTGGAGACTCTGGGCAAGGTATTCCTGAATCACCCAAGAGCACCTCACCTAGATACATAGGGAAGCAGGGGGAGGTGAAGAGGAAAACCAGCAGAATATCAGTCGGAAACCCACATTTAGAAATCCTGACTAAGATTATATAGCGAGCAGTAGAGACAGAACCTTAACAGATCATTTTCCTGTCCCACAGGCTCTGACGGTGGCTGTGGAGCAATTACATTGAACATAACTGGATTTAGCTTATCCTTCCTGGATTATCTAACATAGGTCTCTACCACATATGTCTAGGATTAATTCCTGGATGGCATATATTTGACCATTGATACATCTGGCACAACCACCACTCACAAAGAGCTTTATATATGCTGATGACCTTGGCCTAACAACACAAGCAAAAGACTTTGAAACAGCTGAAATCCAACTTACTAATGCCTTGAAAGATCTCTCCAGCTACTCCAAAGATAACCAGCTGAAGCCTAACCCTGCCAAGACACAAGTGTGTGCTTTCTACCTACGCAACCATGAAGCCAACAGGAAATTGAAAGTCACCTGGGAAGGTCAAAAGCTTGAACATTGTTTCCATTCTAAATATCTCGGTGTCATTATAGATCGAACATTAGCATATAGGAAGCACTGCTTGAACACCAAGCACAAAGTAGCTGTACAGAACAACATCCTGCAGAAACTTACTGACAGCACATGAGGTGCAGACCCAAAATTAATAAGAACATCAGCCCTACCTTGTCTTATGCAACTGCTGAGTATGCCTGCACTGTTTGGCATAAGTCTTCCCACGCAAAGCAGGTGAACATAGCATTAAATGAAACATGCAGAATAATCACAGGATGTCTTAAACCTACACCTGCTGATAAACTCTACAAGCTAGCTGGGATTGCCACCCCAATGTGCGACGGGAAATTGCTTCTAACTGTGAGAGAAATAAGGCTGAACACAGCCTCCTCCCCGTAGACTCAAATCAAGGAAAAGCTTTATGAGAACTATCACCCCTCTTGGCATCCCCTCAGTAACGGCAAGGGTATCCCCCCCTGGGCAGCTAAATCAGGAAATCCCAACTGGCCTTTTAAATCCCACCGCTCAAGGTGGGAACCCTGACGATTCGACTTCTCGCTGTGAAGCTTTTGCTCAGTTCTTTGCAGACAAAGTCGCTTTGATCCATTCTGGTCTGGATACCATGTTAATGGCAGTCTATGAGGATGTAACATGAGCACCTGCTTGTCCAGTTTTGATGGATTCATTTCAATTGGTGAAACCAGAGGATGTGGACAAGATACTTGGAGGAATGAGGTCAACCACATGCATCCTAGACCCCTGCCCATCCTGGCTTCTAAAGGAGGCCAGAGGGGGATTGGCTGAGTGGGTTAAGGTGGTGGTTAATGCTTCCCTTCGGGAAGGCAAGATTCCAGCGAGCTTAAAACAAGCTATAATAAAACCGCTGTTGAAGAAACCATCACTGGACCCCACTAAATTCGACAACTATCGGCCAGTTTCCAATCTCCCCTTCTTGGGCAAAGTCTTGGAACGTGTGGTGGCCTCACAACTCCAGGTTTTCTTGGTAGACACGGATTATCTAGACCCGGCACAGTCTGGCTTTAGGCCGGGACATGGTACCGAGACAGCCTTGGTCGCCTTAGTGGATGATCTGCGCCGGGAGCTCGACAGGGGGAGTGTCCCTGTTGGTGCTGCTGGACCTCTCAGCGGCCTTCGATACCGTCGACCACGGTATCCTTCTGGGACGCCTCGCGGGGATGGGTCTTGGAGGTACTGTTTTGCAGTGGCTCCGGTCATTCCTAGAGGGTCGATCTCAGAAGGTGTTGTTGGGGGACACCTGTTCAACCCCACAACCATTGTCTTGTGGGGTTCCTCAGGGCTCAATATTGTCTCCCATGTTGTTTAACATCTACATGAAGCCGCTGGGGGAGATCATCCGGAGTTTCGGGGTACGGTGTCATCTGTACGCAGATGATGTCCAACTCTGTCACTCCTTTCCACCTGCTACTAAGGAGGCTGTCCAGGTCCTGAACCGGTGCTTGGCCGCTGTGACGGTCTGGATGAGGGAGAACAAATTGAAATTGAATCCAGACAAGACAGAGGTACTCCTGGTCAGTCGCAAGGCCGAACAGGGCATAGGGTTACAGCCTGTGTTGGATGGGGTCCACTCCCCCTGAAGATGCAGGTTCGCAGCTTGGGAGTGATCCTGGACTCATCGCTGAGCCTGGAACCCCAGGTCTCAGTGGTGGCCAGGGAGCTTTTGCACAACTAAAACTTGTTCACCAGCTGCGCCCGTACCTTGGGAAATGTGACTTGGCCACGGTGGTCCACGCTCTAGTTACATCCCGTTTAGACTACTGCAACGCTCTCTACGTGGGGTTGCCTTTGAAGACAGCTCGGAAGCTTCAACTAGTCCAACGCTCGGCAGCCATGATTCTAACAGGAGCGGAGCGCAGGGAGCATACAACCCCCCTGTTGCGCCAACTCCACTGGCTACCGATTTGCTACCGGGCTCAATTCAAAGTGCTGGCGTTGGCCTTTAAAGCCCTAAACGGTTCCGGCCCAAGCTACCTATCCGACCACATCTCTGCCTATAAACCCACCAGGACTTCCGGGGAGGCCCTGCTCTCGATCCCGCCTGCTTCTCAAGCACGGCTGGCGAGGACGAGAAATAGGGCCTTCTCGGTGGTGGCTCCTCAGCTGTGGAGCGCCCATTCTACGGACATTAGACTAGCACCATCTCTAATGGTATTCCGCAAAAAAGTGAAGACCTGGCTGTTTGAGCAGGCGTTCGAATAATTAGTGCAATGATTGGTTAATGAACACTGGAATGGAACAATGGATGACGAATCTGGAACATGTTTTTGATGATGAGACGACAGTGAATGGGTATTGTAGTAACTGTTTATTAATTGTGTAATGTGTTAGGTTGTTAACTGTTTATACTGTAGCACTGAATTTTTGCTGTTCGTATTTGTTGTGAACCGCTGTGAGTCGCCTTCGGGCTGAGAACAGCGGTATATATAGGCCTGGGTAACAACGGAAAAATTTGTTTCTAAAATCGATTCGTTTTTTGGGGTTTTTTGCGTTTCGATATTTAAAAGAATTCCAATTTTTTTTAAAAAAAAGTTCGATATTTACGAAATTTCGTAAATGGTAAAAAAATTACAAAACAATAACGAAACAATAACGAATCGATTCGTTAATGGCGGACGCGACCGCGCAATATGCTAAAAAACCTCCAAATGGGACAGGGGGAACTTCTGAAGCTTCCCTCTCCCTCTGTTGTTGACTGTTGGTGTGATATTATAATTTTTTTTCACTAATTAAACAAAAAACAACTATAAAACTTGCCCCAGACATGCGGAAATAATAACGAAACGATCTCAAACCAATAACGAAACGAATACATAACGAGATGCGAAGCATTTACGAAACGAATTGAAAAATTCGTTTCGTTTTTAAGTTGCTCCAGAATGGTTCGTTATCGCTTCGTTAACAAAAAAATAACGAATTTTTAACGAATTACGAATTAACGAAACGAAACCGCCCAGCCCTAATTATAAGTAAGGTAAATAAATAAATAAATGGTCCCCCACGGGGGCAAACCAGGGGCAAACCTAGGGGCAAACCAAGAATGGGCAACTTGCAACTCCCTGAACAAACTCAGAAGTAGAGTGGGCAGATCAAAAGACAACCTGACAAAAAGGCACTGACCTAAAAGAATCCCACACCATGTGTGACTGTGGAGCAGAACAGACAACTCCGCATCTGTATGCTTGTCCACTATGCCCTGCCTCATATACAGAGGAAGAGTTGTTGGAGGCTACAGACAATGCCATTGCTGTTGCCCGTTTTTTGTCAAAAGATATTTAGCCACCAGTCCTTCTATTTTTATCAGTTTTATCCTAATTTATGCAATGCTTTTGATGTGAAATAAAAATAAGTAAATAAATAAATAGATCCGATTTTCAACAGAACTTTCAAACTTTCTTACAAACTGACTCTGTTGGTTCTGCTGGTTTTATTGGCCACATAATAATTGTAACTCCAGCAAAGGATCACCGCCTTGTCGGGGCGCTGGAGCTTGAGCACCTCAATGATGTCATGAGCGAAACCATGAAGGGCAACCCAAGATGGGACGGTTGTGGCAGAGAGATCAGACCAAGCGTGATCCCTGGGGAAGGCAATGGCAAACCACTCCAGTATCCGTGCCAAGAAAACTAAATGGACCAGTACAACCAGAGATATGTCGGTATGCCATTGGAAGATGGGACTCCCAGGTCGGAAGATGGCCAAAATGCTACTGGGGAGGAGCAGAGGATAAGTTCAACTAGCCCCAGATGTGATGAGGCAGCTAGCTCAAAGCCGAAAGGAAGGCTAGCGGCCGACGGTACTGGAGGTGAACGACGAATCCGATGCTCTAAAGATCAACACACCATAGGAACCTGGAATGTAAGATCTATGAGCCAGGGCAAATTGGGTGTTGTTATTGGTGAGATGTCAAGACTAAAGATAGACATTCTGGGGGTCAGCGAACTGAAATGGACTGGAATGGGCCACTTCACATCAGATGACCACCAGATCTACTACTGCGGACAAGAGGAACATCGAAGAAATGGAGTAGCCTTCATAATTAATAAGAATTAGCTAAAGCGGTGCTTGGATACAACCCAAAAAATGACAGAATGATCTCAATTCGAGTGCAAGGAAAGCCTTTCAACATTACAGTGATCCAAATATATGCCCCAACCACAGCTGCTGAAGAAGCAGAAGTAGATCAGTTCTATGAGGATCTGCAGGACCTACTGGATAATACAACAAAAAGAGACATTATTTTCATTACAGGAGACTGGAATGCCAAGGTGGGAAGTCAAATGACAACAGGGATCACAGGCAAGCATGGTCTGGGAGAACAAAATGAAGCGGGACGCAGGCTGATAGAATTTTGCCAGGAAAACTCGCTGTGTATAACGAATACCCTCTTCCAACAACCTAAAAGACGGCTTTATACATGGACCTCACCAGATGGTCAACACCGAAATCAGATTGACTACATCCTTTGCAGCCAAAGGTGGCGGACATCCATCCAGTCGGTGAAAACAAGACCTGGGGCTGACTGTAGCTCAGATCACGAACTTCTTATTGCCCAATTTAGAATAAAACTAAAGAGATCAGGGAAAATACACAGACCAGTTAGATATGATCTCACTACCATTCCTAGCGAATATACAGTGGAAGTGAAGAACAGATTTGAAGGACTAGATTTAGTAAACAGAGTCCCAGAAGAACTATGGACAGAACTCCGAGACATTGTTCAGGAGGCGGCAACAAAGTACGGTCCAAAGAAAAAGAAAACCAAGAAGGCAAAATGGTTGTCTGCTGAGACACTGGAAGTAGCCCAAGAAAGGAGGAAAGCAAAAGGAAACAGTGAAAAGGGGAGATATGCCCAGTTAAATGCGCAATTCCAGAGGTTAGCCAAAAGAGATAAGGAACTATTTTTAAATAAGCAATGCATGGAAGTGGAGAAGACAACAGAATAGGAAGGACAAGAGACCTCTTCCAGAAAATTAGAGACATTGGAGGTAAATTTCAGGCAAAAATTGGTATGATAAGAAACAAAGATGGCAGGGACCTAACAGAAGCTGAAGAGATCAAGAGAAGGTGGCGAGACTATACAGAAGATCTGTATAGGAAGGATAATAATATTGAGGATAGTTATGACGGTGTGGTGAATGAATTAGAACCAGACATCCTGAGGAGTGAAGTTGAATGGGCCTTAAGAAGCATTGCTAACAACAAGGCAGCAGGAGACGACGGGATCCCAGCTGAACTGTTTAAAATCTTAAAAGATGATGCTGTCAAGGTGATGCATGCCATATGCCAGCAAATATGGAAAACACAAGAATGGCCATCAGACTGGAAAAAATCAACTTATATCCCCATACCAAAAAAGGGAAATGCGAAAGACTGCTCAAACTTCCGTACAGTGGCCCTTATTTCTCATGCCAGTAAGGTAATGCTCAAGATCCTGCAAGGAAGACTCCAGCAATACATGGAGGGAGAGTTGCCAGATGTTCAAGCTGGGTTTAGAAAAGGCAGAGGAACGAGAGACCAGATTGCCAATATCCGCTGGATAATGGAGAAAGGCAGGGAGTTTCAGAAAAACATCTACTTCTGCTTCATTGACTATTCTAAAGCCTTTGACTGTGTGGATCATAATAAATTGTGGCAAGTTCTTGGTGGGATGGGCACTCCAAGCCACCTTGTCTCTCTCCTGAGGAATCTGTACAAGGACCAAGTAGCAACAGTCAGAACTGACCACGGAACAACAGACTGGTTCAAGATTGGGAAAGGCGTACGGCAAGGCTGCATACTCTCACCCAACCTTTTTAACTTGTATGCAGAACACATCACGCGATGTGCGGGGCTGGATGAATGCAAAGCTGGGGTGAAAATTGCTGGAAGAAACATTAACAACCCCAGATATGCAGATGACACCACTCTGATGGCCGAAAGCGAGGAGGAGCTGAGGAGCCTTCTAATCAAGGTGAAAGAAGAAAGCGCAAAAGCCGGGTTGCAGCTAAACGTAAAAAACCAAGATTATGGCAACAAGAATGATTGACAACTGGAAAATAGAGGGAGAAACCGTGGAGGCCGTGACAGACTTTGTATTTCTAGGTGCAAAGATTACTGCAGATGCAGACTGTAGCCAGGAAATCAGAAGACGCTTACTTCTTGGGAGGAGAGCAATGACCAATCTCGATAAAATAGTGAAGAGTAGAGACATCACACTGGCAACAAAGATCCGCATAGTCAAAGCCATGGTATTCCCTGTAGTCACCTACGGATGTGAGAGCTGGACCATAGGGAAGGCTGAGCGAAGGAAGATCGATGCTTTTGAGCTGTGGTGTTGGAGGAAAGTGCTGAGAGTGCCTTGGTCTGCGAGAAGATCCAACCAGTCCATCCTCCAGGAAATAAAGCCCGACTGCTCATTGGAGGGAAGGATACTAGAGACAAAGTTGAAGTACTTTGGTCACATCATGAGGAGACAGCAAAGCCTAGAGAAGACAATTATGCTGGGGAAAGTGGAAGGCAAAAGGAAGAGGGGCCGACCAAGGGCAAGATGGATGGATGGCATCCTTGAAGTGACTGGACTGACCTTGAAGGAGCTGGGGGTGGTGACAGCTGACAGGGAGCTCTGGCGTGGGCTGGTCCATGAGGTCACGAAGAGTCGGAGACGACTGAACGAATGAACAACGACAACAAATCGAGTAGTTCATTGCTATTACAATTACAGGTTAAGTTATTATTTCATTTCTGGATGTATAATATAATTTTGTCTTAAGATATTGGTTTATTTTGGGATCTGGTTGGTTCATTATTTGTATTTCTATTTATTAATGTACTACAGCATTGAATATTGGCCATTTTTTGTTGGAATCTGCCCTGAGTCCCCTTAGGGAGACAGGGCAGAATACAAATAAAGATGATGATGACGATGATGATGATGATGATTATTATTACAAAATAGCACAGCAGAGTTAATACAAGATGGGTTATTTTCTATTCTGCCTTTCCAGCATTCAAGATATCTAGCAATAACATTCAAATAAAAATAAATGCAACAAAAATATAAATGGTTAAACACAATTTAAAACAAATCACTCTCTTGTAGAAACTTCCAGAACCTGGGAAAAGCCATAGACAGATATGTGGCTGACTGACAGATATGTGGAGGCTGTGGAAGCAAGAAACAGGCTTCCTCAAAAGAGTTGAAAATCTAGGTAGGTTTCTAATGGAGAATATAAAGTCACAAGGCAGAGTCATCAGCCCACATTCAGAGTACCTTCTTGTTATTATTTTGTAAGATTCAAAAGTACATTAGTGAAGCAGAGGTTTGATCTACTCATCTTATGCCTATTATGTCTATTACATTGACTCAGAACAAGCCAGTACATTAACCCCTATCAATATGGAAGGCTGCTTCTTCTTTTTAAATATGGTGCTCACATGTAAAGTTAAAAGAAACCCTACCGAACTGAAGTAAAAGGTCATCTTCCAACACAGGCTTCAAATATTTCTCCTCTTCCCATGGAAGTGGGGAACTCACAGAACTAAAGTACTCTGCAGTTGGTTTCTGGAACAGAAGATGGAAACAGACATTCTCAACTCTTTTTAACCTAACCAGCATGCTAAAGCATCTTTACAGAGAATATTGAAGTGGACCAGATATGAAAATCTAATCTCTAACCACTTACTATCATGTCGTTCAGCATGTCATTTTAGGAAAGAGTTTTGCAAAATACTGAGTCTGTACTATTGCTATTTGCATATTAACAATTAATCAGAATGTTTTCTAGTCCAGCAGAGTTGGCAGCATTGTTACTTCTTATAAGAAACTAGAAAGTTGTCAAAACATGAGATAATAAACAAGTATGATATGAATTGCATGAAGAAACCACAAGTGACTGGGTTTGTTTAAGGTTGCATCCATGCTCCATGAAACAACACTGAAGTAACGAATTTAATTTTACCAGAGTCATACTCCCAGTTACTTTCCATAGTTTATCTATATGTAGTAATTCTTGTGATAATATACCTTTCCTCCTACTGCAAAGTCACAAGTAACTTTACTGTGAATTTCCTAAACAACAGTTCCCATGTCATGAAAGATTAATTTAGGACTTCCAAGAAGCACTGGTCAGTAGCAACACAATTACTATTAGTTTTTAACAATTGTGTATGCAAATGCAATACAAGCAATAATCTTATCAATATATAAGATTCCTAAATAGCATGTTTCAGTGTTTTCTTACAGTGATTTCTTCACCAGAAACATGTACTCATGATATTTTAGTGAGCAAATTGGCATAAACTTCTTGGTTTCCTAACCTAAACCAAACTGAACACTTCACTAGGTAAAGAAAAACCCAAGACTTCAGAACCAAGTAGGGTGACATGTAAAGTTATATTTCTAGTGGTCACAGTACCATACGAATTGTGAATACTTGCTGCAGGCTCAAAGATTTATCAAAGCAGTTACAATCTAGTGAGAGCCAGAGCAGTGTAGTGATTTGAATGTTGGACTACAATGAATTTTGGTTCAGATCCCCTGCTCAGCTATGAGTCTCTCTGTGTCTCAGAGGAATGCAATGGCAAGCCTCTTCTGAACAGAAACCTTTAGATAGGTGCATCTTAGGAGCACCATAAGTGGGAAGAATTCCAAGGCACACAACAAAAGCATCAGTCTAGCATAGACAACTCATGTCTATTTTCCTGATCTCTGCCTACACTGCAACCTACTGATCCTGTTACATCTTTTCCTCCTTTCTTTACTTCAAAGGGAAAAGAAGTCTCCAAAACATTACCTGTTCCTCACTACTGATACTTCCAACCAAGTTTTCAAATAGCTCCTCGCCCTCTTTTATATTCAAATCCCTCCACAAACATGTTTTCTCTTACTGGGGCCAATGAGAGTGGAGGAATTACTGGGATTTGGTAGTCTAGACCAAGACTAAGAGTCTGATGCATGGCACATGTTTTTGCTTCCATGCTAGTATCATTGTTTATCTACTGATTTTGATATCCACTGTAAAGTCAGTGAATTTCAAAGAAAATAATAATGCTAAACAAAATTTTACAATCTGGGAAAAGATTTTAGTTGGTCAACTGGGAACTCAAAACTGTCCCTGGGCACGTCAAGGAAGGAAGCCCAGCTCCTTGTGAACTGTTTCAAGTTTGGTTTTCAAACCACAGAAGAATAGTCAGTGACCATGAACACTGTACTGCATTACACTTCCATTGCATATCAGTAATGAAGGCTGCTCTTTTTCATTCCTCATCAACTTCTGAACTTAATTTTTAAATAGCTTACGTTGTTGCAAAGAGTGAAGAGAATAACTATGAGCTCATTTGATAATTCACATCCAAGCTTAATATAGGATGTAAAATATATGTGATAAGCATTCGAGTCTGGAAAACCTATTTAAAATGAGCATATGCCATAGCACAGAATACAGCAACTAAATTATAGACACATCCTGAAGATACAATATGGTTTAATATTTGTCTTGTTAATATACTTAGTTTTTCAGAATATTTGGTTACTTACTTCCACTCTAATGAAGTTTATTAGCTTGATGTAATTGTAGCAGTCAAGTCCTGAAAGAGGAGAGGAGGAAAAGAAAACAGAACTGCTTTAACCAAATTTATTAGCGCTTTAATCTATTTATTATTTATATCAGGCCATCTTATGCCTATTGAACTTTGTCATTATATACCACTACGTTAAGACCAATTGCCAATTTCTGAAGAAAATTATACACATCCCAAAAATCTATTCAATTCAGTCATCTTAGGTATGCTTAGTCTACTTATTAATTAGTCTACTTATTAATCCCAGAACTTGGATCCACAACATTATTTTTTAAAAAGCAACAGTAAAAACACGACATATGCATTAAATCAGAATTAAAGGTTGTATATTAAATGCAATCAATTAATTACATCAAAACAAATTAGATTAAAATTAATAATAAACATTTTAATAGCAATAAATTAAATTAAATTTAGACTTTTGGCAAATTAATCAAAACCAGAAGTGGACAAATTAGGGAGCTACACTGATCTCCTGTAAGACTTTGGAGAACTGCATCTCACTGCTGATCCTCTGAAAAATACATTAATTTTTTTTGCTGCAAAATTATCCAGGTAGATGGGGGAGGAACAACCTCACCATGTTTTTTCCCCCTCTAAGTCATTTTAGCATGGAGATAAATTGTTTATTCAAAAAATAAGTTACGTGGAAGTAACACTATTGGAAAAAGATCTCCCCTGGTCCGAAAACCGACTGGGAGACAGTAGAGAACACATGAAAATGTATGCCAAACCACCCAGAGGCCACTGGTAGCAAAACCATTTTTTCAAAAATATGGGGTGGAGCACAAAGAGTCCACACTTTCCCTACCCCTGATCAAAATTCATAGGAAGAAGTTGCTACCTAGAGAAGGCTCTAGAAACGTGATCACTTCCCTTAGACGGTGGTTCTGGTCACTGAGAAAGTCCTCTCATATGACTTCACCAAAAGTTCCTCTGAACTCCATCACTTTCAAGTAATGAAAGTACTCATTTTCAGCAGAACATTTATTTGTGCACAAAAGTAACACTGAAACCAATACACCACAGTGGATTTTTTACACCACAAATAAAAACAGCAGTTCAACATGTTACAGCAAGCTTTTTATTCCTATACACATGTGCAAAACTAAACAATCTGACAGGTAAACCTTTCTTAAATAAACAAAGATACATGTTTCTCCCATGTCATCACTACATGTGAATAGATGGTGGTGAGCTTGAAAGACATCTTAGAACTCACCCATTCAGGGAGATACAGCACACTCCTTTCATTCATGGGGGATATTTTCCAAAACGCACACATATACACTGTGCATATCTGAAACCATGAATATATAGCAAGCCATATATTCTGACTATCATTGGCCTGATAGGAGCCCCCAGTGATGCAATGGCTTAAACCCTTGTGCCGGCAGGACTGAAGACCGACAGGTCGCAGGTTTGAATCCGGGGAGAGCATGGATAAGTTCCCTCTGTCAGCTCCAGCTCCCCATGTGGGGACATGAGGAGAACCTCCCACATGGATGGTAAAACATTAAAAAAAAAACCCATCTGGGCGTCCCCTGGGCAACGTCCTTGTGGACGGCCAATTCTCTCATACTAGAAGCAACTTGCAGTTTCTCCTGTTGCTCCTGACACAAAAAAATGGGCCCAATGCATACCACAGACCTAGAGAGGCCCTCTGGAAGAGGGGAGGATATTTTTGGAGCCTGGGTAAGTGAAACCATGGATCTCAAGTCTGTGGATAAGGGGGTTGTCCTGTACCCTTTTAAATAATCTGGGCCTAAGCCATTTAGCTCCAGCAAAGGATCACCGCCTTGTCGGGGCGCTGGAGCTTGAGCACCTCAATGATGTCATGAGCGAAACCGTGAAGGGACACCCAAGACGGGACGGTTGTGGCAGAGAGGTCAGACCAAGCGTGATCCCTGGGGAAGGCAATGGCAAACTACTCCAGTATCCTTGCCAAGAAAACTAAATGGACCAGTACAACCAGAGATATGTCGGTATGCCATTGGAAGATGGGACTCCCAGGTCGGAAGATGGCCAAAATGCTACTGGGAGGAGCAGAGGATAAGTTCAACTAGCCCCAGATGTGATGACGCAGCTAGCTCAAAGCCGAAAGGAAGGCTAGCGGCCGACGGTACTGGAGGTGAACGACGAATCCGATGCTCTAAAGATCAACACACCATATGAACCTGGAATGTAAGATCTATGAGCCAGGGCAAATTGGATGTTGTTATTGGTGAGATGTCAAGACTAAAGATAGACATTCTGGGGGTCAGCGAACTGAAGTGGACTGGAATGGGCCACTTCACATCAGATGACCACCAGATCTACTACTGCGGACAAGAGGAACATCGAAGAAATGGAGTAGCCTTCATAATTAATAATAAAGCGGTGCTTGGATACAACCCAAAAAATGACAGAATGATCTCAATTCGAGTGCAAGGAAAGCCTTTCAACATTACAGTGATCCAAATATATGCCCCAACCACAGCTGCTGAAGAAGCAGAAGTAGATCGGTTCTATGAGGATCTGCAGGACCTACTGGATAATACACCAAAAAGAGACATTATTTTCATTACAGGAGACTGGAATGCCAAGGTGGGAAGTCAAATGACAACTGGGATCACAGGCAAGCATGGTCTGGGAGAACAAAATGAAGCAGGACGCAGGCTGATAGAATTTTGCCAGGAAAACTCGCTGTGTATAACAAACACTCTCTTCCAACAACCTAAAAGACGGCTTTATACATGGACCTCACCAGACGGTCAACACCGAAATCAGATTGACTACATCCTTTGCAGCCAAAGGTGGCGGACATCCATCCAGTCGGTGAAAACAAGACCTGGGGCTGACTGTAGCTCAGATCACGAACTTCCTATTGCCAAATTTAGAATAAAACTAAAGAGATCAGGGAAAATACACAGACCAGTTAGATATGATCTCACTAACATTCCTAGCGAATATACAGTGGAAGTGAAGAACAGATTTGAAGGACTAGATTTAGTAAACAGAGTCCCAGAAGAACTATGGACAGAAGTCCGCGACATTGTTAAGGAGGCGGCAACAAAGTACGTTCCAAAGAAAAAGAAAACCAAGAAGGCAAAATGGTTGTCTGCTGAGACACTGGAAGTAGCCCAAGAAAGGAGGAAAGCAAAAGGAAACAGTGAAAAGGGGAGATATGCCCAGTTAAATGCGCAATTCCAGAGGTTAGCCAGAAGAGATAAGTAACTATTTTTAAATAAGCAATGCATGGAAGTGGAAGAAGACAACAGAATAGGAAGGACAAGAGACCTCTTCCAGAAAATTAGAAACATTGGAGGTAAATTTCAGGCAAAATTGGTATGATAAGAAACAAAGATGGCAGGGACCTAACAGAAGCTGAAGAGATCAAGAGAAGGTGGCGAGACTATACAGAAGATCTGTATAGGAAGGATAATAATATTGAGGATAGTTTTGACGGTGTGGTGAATGAGTTAGAACCAGACATCCTGAGGAGTGAGGTTGAATGGGCCTTAAGAAGCATTGCTAACAACAAGGCAGCAGTAGACAACGGGATCCCAGCTGAACTGTTTAAAATCTTGAAAGATGATGCTGTCAAGGTGATGCATGCTATATACCAAAGATGATGCTGTCCAGGTGATGCATGCCACTATGGAAAACACAAGAATGGCCATCAGACTGGAAAAATCAACTTATATCCCCATACCAAAAAAGGGAAATGCGAAAGACTGCTCAAACTTCCGTACAGTGGCCCTTATTTCTCATGCCAGTAAGGTAATGCTCAAGATCCTGCAAGGAAGACTCCAGCAATACATGGAGCGAGAGTTGCCAGATGTTCAAGCTGGGTTTAGAAAAGGCAGAGGAACGAGAGACCAGATTGCCAATATCCGCTGGATAATGGAGAAAGGCAGGGAGTTTCAGAAAAACATCTACTTCTGCTTCATTGACTATTCTAAAGCCTTTGACTGTGTGGATCATAATAAATTGTGGCAAGTTCTTGGTGGGATGGGCATACCAGCCACCTTGTCTCTCTCCTGAGGAATCTGTACAAGGACCAAGTAGCAACAGTCAGAACTGACCACGGAACAACAGACTGGTTCAAGATTGGGAAAGGCGTACGGCAAGGCTGCATCCTCTCACCCAACCTTTTTAACTTGTATGCAGAACACATCATGCGATGTGCGGGGCTGGATGAATGCAAAGCTGGGGTGAAAATTGTTGGAAGAAACATTAACAACCTCAGATATGCAGATGACACCACTCTGATGGCCGAAAGCGAGGAGGAGCTGAGGAGCCTTCTAATCAAGGTGAAAGAAGAAAGCGCAAAAGCTGGGTTGCAGCTTAAAAAACCAAGATCATGGCAACAAGAATGATTGACAACTGGGAAATAGAGGGAGAAAATGTGGAGGCCGTGACAGACTTTGTATTTCTAGGTGCAAAGATTACTGCAGATGCATACTGTGGCCAGGAAATCAGAAGACGCTTACTTCTTGGGAGGAGAGCAATGTCCAGTCTCGATAAAATAGTAAAGAGTAGAGACATCAGACTGGCAACAAAGATCCGCCTAGTCAAAGCCATGGTATTCCCTGTAGTAACCTACGGATGTGAGAGCTGGACCTTAGGGAAGGCTGAGCGAAGGAAGATCGATGCTTTTGAGCTGTGGTGTTGGGGGAAAGTGCTGAGAGTGCCTTGGACTGCGAGAAGATCCAACCAGTCCATCCTCCAGGAAATAAAGCCCGACTGCTCACTGGAGGGAAAGATACTAGAGACAAAGTTGAAGTACTTTGGCCACATCATGAGGAGACAGGAAAGCCGAGAGAAGACAATTATGCTGGGGAAAGTGGAAGGCAAAAGGAAGAGGGGCCGACCAAGGGCAAGATGGATGGATGGCATCCTTGAAGTGACTGGACTGACCTTGAAGGAGCTGGGGGTGGTGACGGCCGACAGGGAGCTCTGGCGTAGGCTGGTCCTTGAGGTCACGAAGAGTCGGAGACGACTGAACGAATGAACAACAAAGCCATTTAGAGTTCTAAAGGTTATAACTAGAACTTTGAATTCTACATAGAAACATATGTAAGCTGTCTCACGCAGCAAACTGGTCACAGCATTTTGGGTCTGCTGACACTTCTGTACTGTTTCCCAAAGAAGTCCCATGTATGGACGGATTGAGACTTTTTTTATATGATGTGAGATGCATAACTGCATTTGACACATTGTTATAATTTTATTTCCATTATTATCCTCTCTTCATCCAAAAGGCTACAACTGAAGAAAGATGTCCATAGAAAGCTTTCAATATCTGTTGAGTTCTATTTTTTTCAACCACTATAAGTTTTTCATTGATGCTCAACATTCACTTTTACCAATAAAATGTACACTTGTGGGGAACTAATCAGATATCTACATAAAATGGAGAAGTAAACTTACTGTGTTTATGAGCCAACATTCCAACATTGAATCCATGGTCTAATGTACAGTGGCCAAAAACATCTTCTGCTGAACTGAAAAACCTTGAAAAACCAAAAACAAAGATACAAATATATATGTGTGCACGCATGTGTAATGGTACTAAAAATAGTTGTTGTTATTGACCAACCATTCCAGTACTAATTAGAGCTGACTCCGCTTAGCTTCCAAACTCAGGCAGGATCTTGTGCCAAACTGACCACAGAGTTATGCTGTAGGATTTAAGCTATTCTTAGAAAGAACACAATTCCCTCACAAAACAAACTATAGGTGAAATAAAGAAGGGGATTAAGAAAATGAAATTGGAAAAATACAAAGAATTAGAAAGGAAGTTTATATGGCAATAGTATAGGACACCTGCCCAAAGAGCAAACATGGGAATAGGGCTAAGCCCAATATGTTGGGATTGTAAAGTAAAGAAAGGCTGGTATGCACATATGCAGTGGGAATATCTAACAATAACTTTTTGGGAAAAGATATTTTTTAAAATGGAGAAATGATTCAAAATACCAATCCGGTAAACATGGAATTTATGCTAAAGGCAATAATAGGGAACAAAAAATATGGATGCAAAGAATCAAAATTTATTGAAGGCAATGGTCCTAGCAGGACAGGCAGTAATAGCCTGAGGATGGAGACATGAAAAAAATGGAATTTGAAAAATTGGAATAACAATTTATTTGACTAAGCACAATCAGACATTATAGATGTGTAGTTCAGGAGGGTACACAGGACGCTCAAACAGAAGAAATTAAAGAGAAATTGGCAATGTATATGAAATGTATAGAAGATAGTGAAGCCAGTACAGATATTGTACAAAGATTAAGAAAACTATGTTCATGATTAAAGATATAGAAGAAAATGTTTGCTTCCGCATCAACCACTCTCAATCTGGTGTCACCTAGACTAAAATACTGGAGACCAGTGTTTAAAACCCTGTTCTGCCACAGAAACCAACTGGGTGACAAGTCAGGCCCTCTCAGCCACAGAAGAAGGCAATGGCATATCCCCTTAGACAAGTAATGCCAAGAATATGATATCTTCACTTTAGGGTTGTGAAAAGATTGAAACAATTTGAAGGCACATAACAACAGCCACAAAGTAATCAGTGCTTATGCTGCAGAAGAGATTCAAGACAGCAATCTGGGAAACCAGCTTGAAATCATCTGGATAAGAATCAAGGGAACTGGGACTCAAAAAGATGTCGTTGTAGGCGTCTACTACAGACCCCCAAGCCAGGAGGAAGAACTTGATGAAGTCTTCTGCCAACAGTTGACCAAACAGGCACAGAGAAGAGATGTAGTAGTCATGGGCGATTTCAACTATCCCGATATTTGCTGGAAAACAAACTCGGCCAAGAGTACAAAGTCCAACAAATTCCTCGCTTGCCTTGCAGACAATTTCATGGTCCAGAAGGTAGAAGAGGCAACGAGGGGATTGGCTACTCTTGATCTCATCCTGACAAATGCGGAGGACCTGATCGATGCGGTCGAAGTGGTAGGATCCTTAGGGGCAAGTGACCATGTGCTCCTGCAATTTGAGGTACAAAGGAAGGCCGAAACTAAGACAAGTCAAACCCGCATTTTGGACTTTAGGAGAGCTGATTTTCAAAAAATGAAGGAAACACTGAGCAGCATTCCGTGGACACAGATACTAAAAGACAAGGGAGTTACGGATGGATGGGAATTTCTCAAGAGTGAAATACTCAAGGCGCAATTGCAAACCGTGCCAACAAAGAGAAAAAATAGGACAAGTGCAAAGAAGCCAGAATGGATGTCCAAAGAACTTCTAACTGTGCTAAGACACAAAAGAGACATGCACAAGAAGTGGAAAAAGGGAGAAATCACCAAAGAAGAATTCAAACAAATAGCCAACACCTGTAGGGAAAAGGTCCGCAAGGCTAAAGCAAAAAACGAGCTCAGACTTGCCAGGGACATTAAAAACAATAAAAAGGGCTTCTATTCTTATGTCAGTAGAAAAAGGAAAAACAAGGAGGCGATAGGACCTCTTCGCGGAGAAGATGGGGCAATGCTGACAGGGGATAGGGAAAAGGCAGAACTACTTAATGCCTTCTTTGCCTCGGTCTTCTCACAAAAAGAGAGTCTTCAACCTCAGCAAGATGGAGTGGATGAGGGATTGGAGGACATCCAACCCCAAATTGGGAAAGAAGTCGTCCAGGAATACCTGACCGCTCTTAATGAGTTCAAGTCCCCAGGGCCAGATCAACTACACCCCAGAGTATTGAAGGAACTAGCGGAAGTCATTTCGGAACCATTGGCAACCATCTTTGAGAGTTCTTGGAGAACGGGAGAAGTTCCAGCAGATTGGAGGAGGGCCAATGTGGTCCCAATCTTCAAGAAGGGAAAAAGGATGACCCAAACAACTACCGTCCGGTCAGCCTCACGTCGATACCGGGCAAGATTCTGGAAAAGATTGTTAAGGAAGCGGTCTGCAAACACTTAGAAACAAATGCAGTCATCGCTAATAGTCAACATGGATTTATCAAAAACAAGTCATGCCAGACTAATCTGATCTCTTTCTTCGATAGAGCTACAAGCTGGGTATATGCGGGGAATGCCGTGGATGTAGCGTACCTGGATTTCAGTAAGGCCTTCGACAAGGTCCCCCATGACCTTCTGGCAAGGAAACTAGTCCAATGTGGGCTAGGCAAAACTACGGTGAGGTGGATCTGTAATTGGTTAAGTGGACGAACCCAGAGGGTGCTCACCAATGCTTCCTCTTCATCCTGGAAAGAAGTGACGAGCGGAGTGCCGCAGGGTTCCGTCCTGGGCCCGGTCCTGTTCAACATCTTTATTAATGACTTAGATGAAGGGCTAGAAGGCATGATCATCAAGTTTGCAGACGACACCAAATTGGGAGGATAGCCAATACTCCAGAGGACAGGAGCAGGATTCAAAACGATCTTGACAGATTAGAGAGATGGGCCAAAACTAACAAAATGAAGTTCAACAGTGACAAATGCAAGATACTCCACTTTGGCAGAAAAAATGAAATGCAAAGATACAGAATGGGGGACGCATGGCTCGAGAGCAGTACGTGTGAAAAAGATCTTGGAGTCCTCGTGGACAACAAGTTAAACATGAGCCAACAATGTGATGTGGCGGCAAAAAAAGCCAATGGGATTTTGGCCTGCATCAATAGGAGCATAGTGTCTAGATCTAAGGAAGTAATGCTACCCCTCTATTCTTCTTTGGTTAGACCACATCTGGAATATTGTGTCCAATTCTGGGCACCACAATTCAAGAGAGATATTGACAAGCTGGAATGTGTCCAGAGGAGGGCGACTAAAATGATCAAGGGTCTGGAGAACAAGCCCTATGAGGAGCGGCTTAAGGAGCTGGGCATGTTTAGCCTGAAGAAGAGAAGGCTGAGAGGAGATATGATAGCCATGTATAAATATGTGAGAGGAAGCCACAGGGAGGAGGGAGCAAGCTTGTTTTCTGCTTCCTTGGAGACTAGGACACGGAACAATGGCTTCAAACTACAAGAGAGGAGATTCCATCTGAACATTAGGAAGAACTTCCCGACTGTGAGAGCCGTTCAGCAGTGGAACTCTCTGCCCCGGAGTGTGGTGGAGGCTCCTTCTTTGGAAGCTTTTAAACAGAGGCTGGATGGCCATCTGTCAGGGGTGATTTGAATGCAATATTCCTGCTTCTTGGCAGGGGGTTGGACTGGATGGCCCATGAGGTCTCTTCCAACTCTTTGATTCTATGATTCTATGATTCTATGAGTGTTCTCTTAATTAAGACACAGAGCACTTGATTCAAGTTAGAGGAAAATAGATTCTATCTATATGTTGCCTCACCATTCAAGTTGATTGAATGGGCTCACTCTACGTTGGAGTAACTAAAAGGATCCCGACTAAAGTCCTTGTCTATTCTTATTCTTATGGCAGAAGAAAAAAAGGACACCACCAATGAACAGTGGATCTATGGTTATTGTTAGATCCAAAACGGGGGAACGCTGCACCTGAATTAGTAGACAAGAGTCCAAAAAAAGCATACCACCCAACTATGTCAATTAATCCTTTACCATTCCAGTTTTTCATCTGCTCTTAAACTGTTCATTTCTCCCGAACTTCTTCCCACTTTCCCTCTTTGTTCTGGTTCGCTTCAAATGGCGCGAACTGAGGACAAAGTGAAAAAGCAGTTTCCACTCACCAATTAAAGGAAGAAAGAAGATCAAGGTGTGGAAAAATACATTGTTGAGGGTACACTACACTGTAGAACTAAAGCAGTTTGACACTGCTTTAATTGCTATGGCTCAGTGCTATGAAATCCTGGGTGTTGTAGTTTGATGAGACACCACCATCATTTGGCAGAAATATCTAAAAGCCTTGTAAATTGAAAACTCCCACAATTCCATAGCACTGTGCCATGGGAGTCAAAGTGGTATCAAACTGCATTAATTTTACAGAGATGATTTGACAGTGCACAACAGAGATGATTTGACAGTGCACAACAACTGAGGGTACATAAACACCAGTCATGGGCAAACTTGGCCCTCCAGGTGTTTTGGACTTCAACTCCCACAATTCCTAACATCCAACCGGCTGTTAGGAATTGTGGGAGCTGAAGTCCAAAACACCTGGAGGGCCAAAGTTTGCCCATGCCTGGTGTTTATGTACCCTCAGTTGTTGTGCACTGTCAAATCATCTCTGAATTATCATGAGGGTTTTCTTTGCAAGATTTGTTCCAGAGAGAGGCTGTTGCCTCCGAGACAAGTGAGAACTTGCTGAAGATCTTCCAGCGGGCTTCCATGGCCCAGCGAGGGCACACAGCCCAGAACTTAAAATGCACTGTCTCTTGCCATTCTCAGTAGATTCAGCCAAAAGGAAACTGCAGCGTCTCCTTGCTCAGGCATGGGCAAACTTTGGCCCTTCAGGTGTTTTAGACTTCAACACCCACAATTCCTGACAGCCAACTTTTTTTTTGTCATGTCAGGAGTGACATGAGAAACTGCAAGTCGCTTCTGGTGTGAGAAGTATGTTGCCCAGGGGACGCCTGGATGTTTTGATGTTTTACCACCCTTGTGGGAGGCTTCTCTCATGTCCTCGCATGCAGAGCTGGAGCTGATAGAGGGAGCTCATCTGCGCTCTCCCTGGATTCAAACCTGCAACTTGTTGGTCTTCAGTCCTGCCGGCACAGGGGTTTAACCCACTGCGTCACCGGGGGCTCCTGACAGCCAATTGTGGGAGTTGAAGTCCAAAACACCTGGAGGGCTGAAGTTTGCCCATGCCTGGTGTTGGTGTACCCTCAGTTGTTGTGCACTGTCAAATCATGTCTGACTTGTCATTAGGGTTTTCTTTGCAAGATTTGTTCCAAAGAGGCTGTTGCTTCCAAGACAAGTGTGAACTTGCCCAAGATCTCCCAGTGGGCTTCCATGGCCCAGCGAAGACACACAGCCCAGCACTCAAATTGCACTGTCTCTTGCCATTCTCAGTAGATTCAGCCAAAAAGGAAACTGCAGCGTCTCCTTGCTCAGGCATGGGCAAACTTTGGCCCTTCAGGCGTTTTAGACTTCAACACCCACAATTCCTGACAGCCAACCTTTTTCGTGTCAGGAGCGACTTGAGAAACTGCAAGTTGCTTCTGGTGTGAGAGAATTGGCTGTCTGCAAGGATGTTGCCCAGGGGACGCCCGGATGTTTTGATGTTTTACCATCCTTGTGGGAGGCTTCTCTCATGTCTTTTAGCTCAGGTATGAGCAAACTTTATGATTAAAGATATAGAGGAAAATGTGTTTTAGACTTCAACACCCACAATTCCTGACATCCAACTGTGGGAGTTGAAGTCCAAAACACCTGGAGGGCCAAAGTTTGCCCATGCCTGTCCTAGCAAGCTTTTATCCATCCTGAACACACTCTGATGTTGCTTGGACGCTATCTTTTCATCTGTGAAATGTTGGGAGCCTAGGAAAACTCTTATTCTGAAATAGTTTTTTCTTAAGAGGCACAACTAACCTTCCCTTTTTTAGAACACTGAGAGTGAATAAGGAAAACTGGAGGTGCTCCCTCTCGGTGGAAGAGGCCGGCGCCTTTCCTCCCCAATCCCAAAAGGAGACGAACCTGTCACAGAAAAGGCACGGGGTCCTGGGCGCAGAGCCCCTCGCCTCCTCGCCTTCTTCCGCCCAGGCCTCCTCGCTGCCGCTGTCCCACGAACAAGGCTCATCCTCCGAGTCGCCCCCCGCCATTGCTGCTGCTGCTGCTGCGAGGAGAAAATACAGGAGTGAACATCAGCGCGGGAAGAGCGAAGGGAAAGGAGGGAGGACCCAACCTACCCATTCCCTCCGCTTCTCCGGCGCTCATCGCTTGAGATTGTAGGCGCGGATTCCACGTGGTCTACCCGCTATGTGTTTCCCTTTCCCACTTCCGGGTTACGCTTCCAGGCGCCGGCCAATCAGAGTGCTGAGAGGCAGGAGGAGAGTCTACGGTGCGCTGTGTGAGACAAACGTTTTAAGAAAAGCGGCGAATCGAGAGAGGATAGTAGAGCCCTGGATTGGGAGGTGTTCTGATCTCATGTTTGACTCCGAAATGACACCCTGCTGGAAAACAGACTCGAGATGCATCTACACCACGTATGGGAATTGAAGTCCAAAAAACATGGAGGATCAGTGGTTGGGATACTTTCCTATGCTGTGGAATCCTGGGATTTGTAGTTTAGTGGGACCCAAGAATTATTTTGCCCTTCCCAAACTGCAAATTCCAGGATTCCAAAGAAGGCAGCCATAGCGATTAAAGTGGAATAATACTGCTGTAACAATATTGTGTGATGTTGACTTCAGGTGATGCTTTAATGTTTAGTGGGAGAGCTATTTTCTCTCAAAGTTAGTTAATTTTTTAATTGATACATGGCACTAAGCGAAGCCAAGGGCTGCACATCCTCTGCATCTACCCTAAATGTGGCTGAAATCCTGTGTGCAAGAATGAGTGAGTGTGCCTAAAATTCGAACACAAGTCACTAACCTCATGCAACAATCTCATTTTATACATAAGGAAAAAAAATGGTTATACAGATTTGAGTGTCCCTCATTCAAAATGCATGAAACCGAAAGGGTTTGGGATTTTGAATTGTTTTATTGTTTTTGGTATTTAGGAATACAGTACCTGTATTTACATATACATACATAATGTGATATCTTGAAGACTGGACCCAAGTCTAAACACAAAATACGCATAGTATGCACCTTAAAGGTGGATTCCCTCTCCGACTACCAGAGATCTATGTGGTGAAAGCAGGAGAGGGAATCCCAGGGTTTCTTGGTTGACAGAATTTTTATTAGGATTGTATTTATTTCTTCTTTACTTCTTTCCCCATTGATTTGTTTGCATGGGTTGATTGATACAATCAGCTCTCCATATCCACGGATTCTGCATCCATGGATTCAACCATTCATGACTTGAAAATATGCAATTAGTGCAATTAATCTAGATTTTGAAACTGAATTATATAGCAGTGTAGATGGGGCCAGTGTCCTCATTTTGTCTCACCCCACTACCGCAGTTCCACTCTTGAGTTCTGTCCTGCAGAGTCCTAGGATTTGTAATTTTGCAAGATATTCATATTTAGCCTCTAGAGGGCACTCATTCACTCCCTCGCCTGAACTGCAACAGAGGTCCCTAGTAGAACATTTTAAGGAGGTGGAGCCCCACCAAACTACAAATCCAAACTACAAAGCCCCCACAAACTACACATTTCCCAGAATAGGGCGATGTCAGTTAAAGTGGTATAAAATCATTATAACTGTTGTGTGAATAAACACAATTAGCTGGAAGCATTATCTAATCCAGCCCAATCATTAACCAGAGTAGTGACTCCAATCAGGTAATCAGAAGAAAACTAGAATGTGGAATGGCAGTTTCCTGAAATAGTCCTCACCCATCCAAGGCAAAGGTTTGTATGAAAAGATATTAGCAGTTATTGTCTGTAAACTGTTCTGATTTATGTTTTCTGATCCACCAAGAAAGAATGCAGGTGTGTTGCCACTGCTTTCAGAAACATATAGTATGGGTTCATATACGATTGTATACACAGCCCACAGAGACAGACTGGGTTCTATAGTTACACTGGCATGCTTTTCAATGAATAAGAGTTTTCAATTCAGTATATAGTTTAAATTCATTGTTAGAAGAGAGGAAGAGCTGTTCTGTGGCTTTGGATATTTCAGTGCTCTGTGCCATCTTCTGGAGGAGGTAACACTGAAAATGGTATGGAAATGTGCCTGTGGTTCTGCATATTTATTTATTTTGGTTTCTTCTACCCCGCCCTTCTCACCCCGAAGGGGACTCAGGGCGGCTTACAAAGCAAAGGCACAATTCGATGCCCACATCACATAACAGTCAAAAACAGAAATAGCATCAATTCACAGTTAAACAACAATTCCTACATTACAACTATAAAAACCAATAAAACCAATAAAACCAATACAAACCCAATTCCTCCTCATAAACGGTCAGCGTTCGCTATCTCATAGTTCCATTTTCAATTCCACATTGTCAGTCCTGGTCATACTCGYCTGATTATCTTMYCTARTTGTCAGATTGCCCAAAGGCCTGGTCCCACAACCACGTCTTTACCTTCCTCCTGAAGGAGAGGAGGGATGATGAYGCCCTAATTTCCCCCRGGAGTGAGTTCCACAGGTGAGGGGCCACCACTGAGAAAGCCCTGCTCCTCGTCCCCACCAGCCTCACTTGTGACAGTGGTGGGGTCAAGAGCAGGGCCTCCTCAGATGATCTCAAACTCCGGGGTGGGACGTAGAGGGAGATACGTTCGGACAGGTACACTGGACCGGAACCGTACAGGGTTTGTAGGTCAAAACCAGCACCTTGAATTGTGCTCGGAACTGAACCGGCAGCCAGTGGAGCTGGCACAACAGGGGGGTGGTGTGCTCCCTATATGTCGCTCCGGTGAGCAATCTGGCTGCCGCTTGCTGGACCAGTTGAAGTTTCCGAACAGTCTTCAAGGGCAACCCACATAGAGTGCATTGCAGTAGTCTATTCAGGATGTAACAGAAGCATGGGCCACTGTGGCCAGATCAGACTTCCCAAGGTACGGGTGCAACTGGTGCACAAGTTTTAATTGTGCAAAAGCTCTCCCAGCCACCGCCGAGACCTGGGGTTCCAGGCTCAGCGATGAGTCCAGGATCACTCCCAAGCTGCAAACCTGCGACTTCAGCGGGAGTGTAACCCCATCCAGCACAGGCTGTAACCCTATACCCTGTTCGGCCTTACGACTGACCAGTAGGACCTCTGTCTTGTCTGGATTCAATTTCATAGAAAGCTAGGAATTCCATTCACCAATCAAGTTTCTTATGCTACTGTGTTTAGCCAGCCAGTCAATTGACTGGTTGGCTAAACTCTTGTTCTCTACTGTGTGATTTGTGAAATAATATTCAGAGTTTCTAGAATGCCTTGCTTTTCAACTATCCTGTACTACCAATTAGGTGTCTTTTAAAATGTCCCAGTTGCTCCATGTTCATTGTTTGCTCTTGTTTTAGTTGGTGAAAACTCAGTTCAAAATGCAAAAATAGTTTGTAACAGAAAGTTGCCTTTCTCAACAGGAAAGGAAAAGGAAAAAATACAACATTTTGGAAGCAGTTCCTTCTCTGGCCAATATAGGAGGGTCAGGTGCACAGCAAATTCCCCAAGTTTACTTGTTTCTAGTTGATATAAGGTGCCTTGATGGTTTCTTCTCAGGGTACATCTACACGGAAGAATTAATGTAGTGTTTGACATAATTTCAGCTGTTGTGGCTCAATACAATGAAATCCTAGGTTTTGCAATTTGGTGAGGCATTGACACTCGTTGACAGAGTGGGCTAAATATTGTAAAACTGAGACAGATAGTTACGTGCATCTACACTGTAGAATTAATGCCATTTTACTCCACTTTAACTGATATGACTCAATGCTATGGAATCATGGGGTTATAGTTTTAATTAGATTTTTTATCTTTCTCTGCCAAAGAGTGCTGGTGGCTCACCAAACTACAAATCCTAAAATTTCACAGCATTGAGAAATGGCATTGAGAAATAAATAAAATCACTTTTTGAGAGGTAATGGCAAGATCGTCAGCATAGATGAAACTCTCTGTCTCTTCTGGCAATGGCGGAACATTTGTGTAAATGTTTAACATTGATGAAGCAAGCATACTTCCCTGGGGCAAGCCATTCTTCTGTTTTCACCCTCGATTCCCTGGAACTCAACAAAAAAGCTCCTGTTTTGTAGCAGATTTCCTATGAAGCAGGTGAGGTGGTAATCCTTTGTGATATTATACTTTTTTTTTCAGGAGGAGGCAATGGTTTACAGTATCATAAGTTGCTGTCATGTCTATGAAGACAGCTCCTGTAATCTATATTTCAAAACCATCTTCCATGTGCTGAGTCAGGTTCAGCATTTGTGATGTATAGATTTTTCCTTTCCTGAAACCAGTTTGCTGTGGGATCATAAATGGGTCTATTTTTTCCATAATTCTGTGCAGGAGAAGTCTCTCCAGAATTTTATAAGATGACACAACAAGGAGATTGGTCTATAGCTTTTTGGATCATTATGGTCTTTGCCTAGTTTCGAAATGATTATGACTCTTGCTTTCCTCCAGATGTTAGGGATCTGACAGGATGCAATGCAGTTGTTCATTAGCTTCAGCAGCCAGCACCTTCCTTTTGGGCCAAAGTTCTTAATTTGTTCTATTCGTAGATCGTGTCAAACTGCCTTAATTCTACAGTATAGATACATCCCCAGTGACCGCTTGCCTTCTGGCTGATGAATGAGGCCATTCTATGTTTAGTTCTCCAGATTCAGGGCATGAATTCCTGATATTTCAAGATGCTTTAAATCATTTAAGTATTTTGTATTAGTCTGAACGGCTATTTTACAAATATTGTTAATTTATATTGCTCTAGAGACAGCTAGTTGTACAATTTGCAGTATATAGAGCAATAAATTGCCCCACTTTGGGACACAAGTTTAAATCTTTACTCCCACCATTGTTCTACAATATGCCTATTAAAATATAGTATACTTATAAAATGTAGTCATAAAGATGTTATAGTGGTACTGGTAATAGAAAATTTGGTATAAAAGATGTCATAGCTTAAAATGCTAATGCATGCACAGCAACCAAGAAGTAAGTGACCCTGAACACTGTCGGCCTTACTACTGAGTATAGGATTGCATTGACACTAACATCTCATTAAAACTGGTCTTATGCATAGTATGAATTAATCATTTCAATGCAAAATTTCATGCCATAGCTAATAGAACCATGAAAAGGTTTTGAATTTTAATATCTTGCATTTATCTTTTGGTTGAGAATAAAATACTGTAGGTGCAAGAGCCGTTCGTAAAAGAAAAAGTTTTTTTAAGTTGTTGCACAATCCTGGGATAGTGGCAGCCTTTGGAGACCTCTTAGATTCATTTAATGAATAGCTGTTGCCTGATGCCAAATGTAATGAAAAGCAACCACAAAAAATGGGAGAAGCTGTATTTTAAGCTCATTTACTTCAACTAAATTGAATTAATTCAAGCAAATTATGCTAAAAAGACCGTTGAAGACCCTCTCCTTACAAAAATACTAATTCTCCGTACACATGCATTATTTCCAGTTTTTAAAGAGGAAAGGGGGCCGTTTGAAGTATTATATGTAGTAGTTGTGTGTAAAATCTCTCATTCTTCATATTGGCTTCTTAAAAATTAGCCAGCCAATCATAAGTCCCTAGACCGACGCTGTCTCCCTGAGTTAATCCAAGGCCAGTAAAAGGATAATTTGATTAAACTGAGACCCTAATTTATTTAGCTTTAGTTCTGGATCAAGCTTTCCTTAATAGAGTGCTGTCGTCTTCAATTGTTGGAGGCAAATTAAAGTGACATAAATACCATGGGACTTTTTCAATCTGATTAGTCAGCTAACTTGCCTCAATGCTACCCCAGGCATCTGATGCTGGCGTCCTTCCTTTCATTAGCTTTACTAACAACTGACAAGTTCTTCTCAAAGAATGGGCACCCACGCTGCCACGCCGACCCCCACACTTAACCCATCATCCTTCCTCAATGGGTCCTGTTTGACAAGGTGCCTACACCTTTCTCCACTGCTATTCCCCAAACAAAGCTAAATATTGTTTTATTAGCTATCAATAGCCTGTTAATCCCAAACAATTTCACAAATCCACTGAGTCCTCAAACTGATTATAAACATTTGGTCTTTTAAGATGCTAAGTTTCTGCTGGTTTCTTTCCACACTGTGCGATACCCGTAGCATTGAGCTGGGGAGAAAGCGTCAAATACCAAAGGTAGCTGTGTTCTTTAATGGTACATTTCACTAGTCAACAAGAGAAAGAAAAAAAGCAATTTCTTTGAAGGCGGCTGCTGAATCCTTATCTTAAAAGATTTAGATAAAAGACCGTTTTTTTAAAAAAAAAATCTAGACCTTCCATCTTTTCAAATGCCAGAACAGTGGGATCTTGTTTGTGAGCATTTTGGCAGAAACCTAACAACTGGGAAAAGTGTTGTTCTGTAATGTTTTTAATAGCGTGTGAAATCTGAAATCCTTTACTAGATCCTTAGTATTAGAAGTAAATGGAAAGTCTACTATATAACAGAGGAATGTCTGAAGATACATTTATATATGTGAATAAGTGGGAAATAGTATTACAAAACAACCAGAAGAAAGAATACATACGAAATTGTTGTTATGTGCCTTCAAGTTGTGTATAACTTATGGCAACCCTAAGATCACAGGAGTCTCTGGGTGAGATTTGAAAAGAGGACCTTTGCCTTTGCCGTCTTCTGAGGTTGAGAGTGACTTGCCTAAGGTCACGCAGTGGGTTTCCATGAGTGAGTGGGCATTTAAATCCTGGTCTCCACAGTCATAGTCCAGTGCTCAAACCAGTGCACCATTCTGGTTCTCTTCATAGAGAATATAAACAGATTAATGTCAGATGGTTACAAATTATCATACTTAGAAAAAGAGAATTAGTAGTGACCTGGGATGATCTACAGCTGAGTGATAAAATATGTCCTTTGCATGAAAAAGAGCTGAGAAAAGACATGGAAGTTACTATATGATAATCTGGTAGATCCAGTGTTCAGATTTGGTACATATATGAAAGCTTGAAATGTTATTTTTAAAATTCTATGTCCCATAATACCGCAGAGAGCATGGTAATATAATCAAAAGTAATGTTTCTTGGAAGGAGAGCAATGACCAATCTCGATAAAATAATAAAGAGCAGAGACATCACACTGGCAACGAAGATCCACATAATTAAAGCAATTGTATTCCCCATAGTAATCTATGGATGTGAGAGCTGAACCATAAGGAAGGCTGGGCAGAGGAAGATAGATGCTTTTGAACTGTGGTGTTGGAGAAAAATTCTGAGAGTGCCTTGGACTGCAAAAAGATCCAACAAGTCCATACTTCAGGAAATAATGCCCGACTGCTCACTGGAGGGAAGGATGTTAGAAGCAAAGTCAAAGTACTTTGGCCACATAATAAGAAGACAGGAAAGCTTGGAGAAGACAATGATGCTGGGGAAAATGGAAGGTAAAAGGAAGAGGGGATGACCAAGGGCAAGATGGATGGATGTTGAAGTGACTGGCTTGACCTTGAAAGAGCTAGGGGTGGAAACGGTCGACAGGGAGCTCTGGCGTGGGCTGGTCCATGAGGTCACGAACAGTCGGAAGCAACTGAATGAATAAAAAACAAAAATGTTTCTATGTTCTGGAACAGCTCAGTTTCACAGCATTGGTTTCAATGCAATTTTTATAGGTGGAACTGCCTGGATAACATAATTCTTTTTCTTGTTGTAAAGAAAAAGGCAACCAAGACAAAAACTCAGCCCATATATTGAAGCAGAGATCAGCCTTAATGATGAACAGAATTGATTTAGGTGGGATAATTGGACTAATTTACTCTAAGATCATTAAGACCTTGTGCAATGCAGTGCTGGGAGTCCTAGCAGAAGAGATGCAGCTCTGCTACTTGTAATGCTTTTAAGGCACTTCTCTCTGCAGGCAGCAGCCAATTCCTGCACAGTTTTGCTGTTGCCATAGTCTCCTCTGACAGCTTTGCTCCCATTGGCAGGTTTGAAATCACGCTTCCTTGAGCAGGAGCAAGTGTGTAGCTACAAGAGGCGGAGGGAATGGCAGTTTTCCTTCAGTCGTTTTAACGTTGGGTAACTTAAAACTTCCCTGAACATTTAGAAATGCAGTTCAGGCATTCAAAGAAAAGAGACAGAGAAGGTAGCCAGAGAATTGCAACAGAACAAATAATGACTTCCAGGTGTAAAGGATTTTGTCTTACTCCCTGCAATGGGAGAAATCTGGGAACTGAAGGGAAATTGCATTAGCACTCTGGATTCTTAACTGTGGGGTAGGCATCCAGTCTCCTCCCCCCACCCCCAGGTTCTAGAAACATAATAGATTTTGGAACCTAGAAGGCACAAGATGCACCTCTGTATTTCAAGTCAGCCAAATAGTCTTCTGTTTTCATTTGGTTTTAATGTAAATAGGTCACGTTAAGTTCTCCACAAATTTGGCATGAAATATTTTACTGTACCAAGAAGGCATGACAAGAAAGGTAAAATCTTGTACTTATGTCTTTGTGACATATTGTTGTTTCCAAATGAGAAGAATACGAAGGAAATTCTGCAACATTTCTATCACCTACCATGTTGTGATGGATTCCTTCTGCTTCTGTGCCCACATGCTGGCAGAAAATTGACATTAAGGCAGGATTCTCCCTCCTCATTATTCCCTTTCTTTTTCAAAGCTAGACTTACACAAAAACTAGACTTGCACAACTCAGGAAGTCTTCGAGTTACAAACATCTGACTTACAAATGACTCACAGTTAAGTACAGGGATGAAACAACAAGAAAAAAAATCTACCCCTTGGAAGGGAAATTCACTCTTGAAAGAGTTATCATGGGGAAAAGGTGTATATCCATCAAAGCTTTGCCACCAATCTTTGTTTCAAATCTATCTTGTTCATAACTTGGGACTGCCTGTATGAGTGTGGGAAGAGCATGCAGAAGTATAATCAATCACAGCATCATGAAAGGGTGAATCATTGCAATTGTACAATTGAAGAGTTGTGCAATAGCAAAGATTCTCAACTATTGAAAACTTGACTGTAGTGGAATATGAGGCTCATGTGATAAAGTCTGTGGTGGCAAAAATCTATACCTGCGGCAGTGGTCCATTCCTAGCATAGGGGAAATACAGAGAATGGCAGTAATAATGAAGCAGATGTTAGATTGTATATGTAGAACCCTTGGCACATGACCCCACACAGTCGTGGAATATGAATCAACTTGAAATCAGAACTATAATGACCAGGGCAGCATCTTTTGGATTTCTTAGTTTTTGTAGTTCAATGTGACACTAGAGTTCTTTCTGGCTAAGTATGTTAAATACTATTCTAAATACTCAAGCCAGGATTTCATAGAATTTTGCCGTAGCAGTTGAAGAGGAGTCACAGTGCTATTGTTGCCTGGTGTGATGGGACTCATGGGTACAGTGCAGTCTGGGGTAGACTTGTGTGGCTAAGATACTTTTTGTAGTGTCATTTCTGAATAGTGACCGGAGAGGGGAGACTGTATAAGGCTTGAGAAGGCAATGAACAAAACTGATACATGGTTTGGAAAAAAGGAAACTATTCTATGGAACTGAATGCTGTTTGCTGTTCACTGCCCATCTTAGTACCCCTTTTGTGAGGAGGATATAACTTCATGCCACTAGTGTAAATAATAGCAGTTCTTTGCATGATTGTGCACAATTCAAAGTGCTGGTTTTAACCTACAAAACCCTATACGGTTCCGGCCCAGTGTATTTGTCCGAACGGATCTCCCTCTACGTCCCACCTCGGAGTTTAAGATCATCTGGGGAGGCCCTGCTCTCGACCCCGCCTCTATCTCAAGCGAGGCTGGCGGGGACGAGGAGCAGGGCCTTCTCGGTGGTGGCCCCTCACCTATGGAACTCACTCCCCGGGGAGATCAGATCAGCGACCTCCCTTCTGTCGTTCAGAAAAAAACTGAAGACCTGGATCTGGGACCAAGCTTTTGGACATTCTGGCAGCTAAAATAAGGACCCATTGATGAGCAGGAATTGTTGGAATGAATGGACATTTCGGAACTCTGAATTTCACTGTGCATGAAACTGTTTTTATTATATTATGTAGTGATGTGTTTTAATGCTGCTAAATGTTTATACTGTTTTATATATGCTGTATATTTTGACAGGCATCGAATTTGTGCCTTTGTTTGTAAGCCGCCCTGAGTCCCCCCTAGGGGGTGAGAAGGGCGGGGTATAAGTAACTGCAATAAATAAATAATAAAATAAATTGTGGCTATTCTTAAATTAAAAAGCAACTGTTGAAGATTAGCTAGTTGAAGATCTTTGTTAGAAGTTTAACCTAGGCTGTCAGAAATAAATGGAATTTATTTGGAGGCAGCTATGAATACGAGATCAGTTGCCTAATGAATTAGTGGTTCTGTTATGTAATGTGCTGATTTATCTCTTTTTTGCTGGGATATCCACCTGCTTTTCTATTTATCTTTCTCCATGATACAGTTGTCATGAGTTGCTGCACTTCAAAATATAAGCCATGTTGCAAGTGGTAAGAAAAAAGGAAGAAAAAAGGATGGAGAATTAAAGAACAACTGAAAGAGGTTTCATAGAATCATAGAATCATAGAGTTGGAAGAGACCACATGGGCCATTGAGTCGACTTTGGAAGAAAAGAGGAAGAAAGTAGGTCTATTGTTTGTAAATTTCTTGCTTCTTCATAACAGAAACAAAATGGCTTATGATTCATGTTCTCTGATAGAGGGTATTCATTCAAAGACTTATGGGTTCAGGCACAGCTTAAAAAAGCTAATGTTTGGTATGACAGCTCCCAGGATCTTCCAGCCAGCTTGAGCAGTTGCCCTCCCAAGATGCTAACAGCTTTAAGGTCTGAGGGCCCTTCTACACTGTCTCTATATCTCAGGATCTGATCCCACATTATCTTCTTATCCCAGATTATCTGACAGTAGAGATTCATATAATCCAGTAATCCAGTCTGGGATCAGATCCTGGGATATAGGGCAGTGTAGAAGGGGCCTGAGTTCAAGCTCATTCCCTGAATGTGCTTCCAAGATAAAGCTGGAGTGATTGGAATGAAATCCAAATCTCATTGTTTCAATCTGTGAGCACAGTCAGCCTTCTCACACTTACAACCCCTGACATTGATTCCTAGAAAAGTGAAACTCTCACACATTCCCTTTTTAAAAGCTAAGTACTTTATGGCAAACCCATTTTCTAACGGTTCAGTTCTGGCCGCTCTTTTGAATTGTTTTAATGCAATTTCCAAGAAAAGCACGAGAGGGCAGTACAGTTCTAACCCGAGACCCTATGTTTTTCAGAAATGATTGCAAAGATTGGGCTATTTGAGAAGAAGAAAAAAGTTATTCAGTCCTTGAACTGTTTTTAGTTCAGCAATATTGCTAGTCTTTTCTTTTTGATCTTGCTAATGCTTCATTGCTTTCTTTTAGAAGAATAAAAATAAAAGCAACATGCTATAATCTTTGGGTCCAATATGAACCCAATCTGAAATGAATATTTTTTATTAAAAAGCCACTGAACAAATTGATGGAAGCAGATACTACAAAGATTTCCCTGTCTTTGTGTGAACTGTTATCCTCAAACTAAATTATGAACACACATAGTAAAAAAAAATATTAAAGAGCAATCTAAAATTCTTTTTAAATGGCTATTTTTAAAGAAAAAAAACTATTGGTATTCTGTTGTTCCTTGGCCTAGATACAATGTGATTTTAGCAAAGAAAAATCTTTACTATCAAAATGCATCAAATATAAGTAGAAGTAACCCAAGTAACTAGAAGTAACCCAAACAGAATGTATACAATTTGTTTTGCACTATTGGTTGGGCAGCCAGTTGCACAGTGGAAAAGTGTTCCAAACCATTTCCTTTCACTTACTTGTTCCTACTAAGCTTTTTCTCCAGAAGTTTTGCAATAAATTTTCCAACAAATTCCCATTGGACTTTCTTTTGCGGGTTCATGCGCATCACTTGGTTTCAGCACATCCTTGGTTTCATGAACTTAGTTGGGGTCCAACTCCTTACATATTGTCAGTCAAATTCTACTTCAGAGCCACTGGAGATATATAGGTCACTTCCCAAAGTGTTATTCTTGCATCGAGTTCCTATTGATGTTTACTGAGAAATACATCTTCTTGAGTTTAAAGGAACTTCAACCTTAACAAATGTGCCTAAGATTGGGACATTAATTTAGAAAGCCCTGTTTTCAGATGTTCATATATTTGAAGGATCACACATTATGTGGCAGTGTAGATGTGTATTGTCAAAGGCAGGGGTCCTCAGACTTTTTAAACAGAGGGCCACGTCACAGTCCCTCAAACTGTTGTTGGGCCAGATTATTATTTGTAATGCAAAAAACCCCCACTTTAAAACAATACAATAATTAAAATGAAGAACAATTTTAACAAATATAAACAGTATTTCAATGGGAAGTGTAGGCTTGCTTTAGGCTGATGAGATAGGATTGTTGTTGTTGTTGTTGTTGTTGTTGTTGTTATATGCTTTCAAGTCGTTTCAGGCTTAGGTTGACCCTGAGCGAGGGCCAGGTAAATGACCTTGGAGGGCCGAATATGGCTCTCGTTCCTTAGTTTGTGGACCCCTGGTCAAAGACTTTCATGGCCGGAATCACTGGGTTGTTGTAGGTTTTTCGGGCTGTAAGGCCATGTTCTAGAAGCATTCTCTCCTGATGTTTTGCTTGCATCTATGGCAGGCATCCTCAGAGGTTGTGAGTATAGATGTGGCCTACATGAGCTTCTCAAGCCTGCCTCTTATTAACATATTTTCCAGCACATTTTAAATGCAGGCAACTATTGACCAATTTGTATGCCTTTTAGAATTGTTCATAGTCATCATCCCCCCCCCCTCCCCGGCAAAAGTATGCACGCATTGTTTAGTGAAAAACATTGCAAACCCTGAAGTGTGTGGATTTCCACACATAGAATGTGCTTTTGTTCCAGATATGTTCTCAGGAAGTACACAGTAGTGGAAACCCAACATTAATGAAAACCACATCTGCCAAACAAAATTATCAGTTGTGGACATCCTAAATCTTTACTGATTTTTTTTCTCTTGCATTGCAGATGGAAAGCCACTGCTCCATCTGCTATTGGTATCCACAGCACATATTAGCAACATGCTCAAAATTCCCACTGTAACAAGATGGATAAGGAACATGGGCAACCCATTTTGTTCCAATCTTGGAATCTTCAATCCTGGGAAAGAGAAAAATCAGCAGAGGGATGAAGAAAGGGCCAATTTTCTCCCAGTTATGTGTTTAAGGTGCTTAAGGAATTTTCAGAGCCCTAAGCACCTGCATGTGATGTTGTTTTGTTGTTTGTCTTTCTAAGTTGCAAAATATTATTCATATCCTCAGAGCTCTATGCTTAAGCTTTTGACTGGCAGGCATCAAGTAGATGCTACTTTTTCCGAACTTTCAAGATGGTGTGTGTGCATACATGCCCACATTTGCAAGATACATACACATTTATATCCCCTTTTACATTCAGCAGCTGAACCAAATTTCACAAAGCAAAGCCAAAGAATGGCTAAAAGGTTAGGATAGATGGACTGTTTCCAAATTGGAATACTAATGATGATCTTTAATGAAGCCTGACAGTACAATCTGTTTCTTATTGTTCCCTAAGTGCTGGCTACTGATCACGTTCACTTGTGTGAGGTGATGGGGAGAGCTGGGAACGAGTGGCCCCCGCTGGCAGGCAGGACGGAGAACAGCTGATCTTTCAGCAAGGATTAAATTCATTAAAATGATTCCTGCATCTGAAGAATCAATCTTTTTATTTGTTATCATCATACTGTTTATTAATATTGAATGGTGGCTAATTGGTGGCACTGCTGTTTGGGTCATCTGGCTGTGTAATCTTCTTACTGAAAACAGTCACCAGTGCCCAATTCAAGTAGGGAATTGGGAGAAGAGATTTCCCTCAACTTCATGATTATGGAAAGAAGTGGTGAGAGAAGAATTAGTTTACAGCTCCCAGATAGGGCAAACATTGGTAGCAATGTATTCCGTGCACTAACAACAAGCAACATCTCTGTAATTTCCACTTTAAAATCCTCTATGTTTTATCATTCTGTTTAATTTCTAAGCCAAGTAGACCAAAGGTACATATATTTTATTAATAAATAACTGAGTGCTTGCTACAGATTCCACACTATAGAATGCTAATTTGCCTTATACACGATGATGTATTAAGGGTGAAGTATTGTTAGGGAGGATAAACTTAAGAAAAGAAGATTAAAAATTCCCCCAATGATTTGTTATTGTCCTTGGCAGATATTGGATTATGCAAAAAAGGGAGAAAACTGAATTATTTATTTTGGCAAATTAAAGCAATAGTAGTGGGGTGTTCCATGTCTCCTGAAGAAGTGATTTTTTATGAGGGCAGTTTTGAAGAAACTGTGGTAATTTTAAGTGCACTTGCTGAAAAGTACATTCATTTTAATGCACTGGGATTTACTTCTGTGTAGAATGCTGAAGATTAGCCTAAATTGTGTGCAGATATATGAAAGTCAGTGACAAAGTGATGGAAATTGTGTTAAGAAGTAATACTTTTAAAAATATATGTGTTACGTTTACATTGAATTGTGCATTTACTCAATGTTATGTTGGTCTTTAAATTTATGTTAAAATACTATCAACTTTATCAGAATGAAGTTGAAAAATTACTCCTTTGAGAAAGTTTGGAGTTTGGGCAATGAATGATGTTGAAAATAAACGCGCACACTGATACACACACACAAACGAATAATGCAAAAATGCAAAGTTTTACCTCTATTTTTATTCAAACATTTCACTAGAGTTACACCCACCTCATTAAATAACCAAGAATAAAAATGATCATATCAATGATTAATATTACATAAAGCCCCATGTCATTTCTTTCCCATCTCAATCCTTCTATCTTCCACTCTTTTTCAATGTTTCCATTATGTCTTCTGTTGTTTCTGTTGTCCACATCCATATGTCCCTCCATCATGGCCCTTTTTCATTGTCCTCTGACAGATACTTACAAATTTGATCTTGTTTGTCCATGCTGTATTTTCCTTAGATACTTTGTTTTTCTTTATTCATCCATCTTTTCATTTTTCCTGATACTCTTTCCTTCCCTCTTGTAAGTTCCCTAAAACTTGGAAATGAAATTATTAGAAAAGTGTAGCATGATTTGAATGCTTGGAAGAAGCTTGTGCGTGAATTTGTTTTTTGTGTAGGGATTGGAGCACAACAACTAACACTCAATGGTCACAAAAAGAAGTTCAAATCCAATGACATGGATACCACGATGATTGGTGGCCTCTTGTCTGTTACAGCCTTTGTCCTCCTTCACAGCAATTGTATCATGCCTTCACAGACATTATAACATGCACCATGTTATCATCCACTTGTTCTACCACTGAGGACTTTCTTGGATTTTCCAGAATGCATTCACTGAGAAATAAATTGACTGGATTCTACATTCATATAAAACAATTAGACTACATTTCCCAGAATCTCAGAGCCAGCTTTGTCAAGTGGTCATCTACTCACTGTTTTGAAAAAAGTGTGGTAGATCTAAAACCAACTCAATCCTTGCCATGCATTAAAATTACTTCCCCCAACAGCTTCAGGGGGTGAAATTGGTCATCATATTTCTACTATTCTTTTTTCCCAAGGAAAATTGGAGATTGGAGTGCAGGAGAATTCTTTTGAATCCAAGAAAACATCTTTCTGGGCTACACAGCTTATGGGCAAAACAGTGTCCACCTCTACCTTAAATCATGGTGTATGTGCATCCATTTGTACACATTCACACAACGCAGATGCAGTGTGGCGTAGTGGTTTGAGTGTTGGATTGGATGCCTGGACCGGGACTGAAATCCCAACTCGGCTATGGTAACTTACTGGATGATGTGTGACAAGTTACCCTCTTTCTGGTCCTTTCCACACAGCTGAATAAAATCATAAAATCATAGAATGAAAGTGTTGGAAGAGACCTCGTGGGCCATCCAGTCCAACCCCCTGCCAAGAAGCAGGAATATTGCATTCAAATCACCCCTGACAGATGGCCACCCAGCCTCTGTTTAAAAGCTTCCAAAGAAGGAGCCTCCACCACACTCCAGGGCAGAGAGTTCCACTGCTGAATGGCTCTCACAGTCAGGAAGTTCTTCCTCATGTTCAGATGGATTCTCCTTTCTTGTAGTTTGAAGCCATTGTTCCTTGTCCTAATCTCCATGGAAGCAGTAAACAAGCTTGCTCCCTCCTCCCTGTGGCTTCCTCTCACATATTTATACATGACTATCATATCTCCTCTCATCCTTCTCTTCTTCAGGCTAAACATGCCCAGCTCCTTAAGCCGCTCCTCATAGGGCTTGTTCTCCAGACCCTTGATTGTCTTTTCACAGCATTGAGCTTGTTCCCAATGAAGAGACAGGACTGCACTCTGGTATCAAAGAGAATCTTTACTACTGGAAACATGGACATGTGAAAAGCCGAGATTGACCAGCAGCCGCTGGTCGCTCCTTATATGCACACCCCCTCAATTGAAAGTACAATTCCCGCCAAGTCAAAACCCCATGCAATATTCCCGCTGCACTGTAAGCCATTGTCTTCCAAGGTTGACAGCTGCAGAGTTCTTATCAATGTCCTACGTCAGGACCCCAGTTTTCAGCGCCAAAACTGAGGGCCTGGAAACTGGATCCTGACACTTGATCATTTTAGTTGCCCTCCTCTGGACACGGCGCTCCATGCAGTCATGCTGGCCACATGACCTTGGAGGTGTCTACGGACAACGCTGGCTCTTCGGCTTAGAAATGGAGATGAGCACCACACCCCAGAGTCAGACATGACTGGACTTAATGTCAGGGGACTACCTTTACCTTACCTCCAGCTTGTCAATATCTCTCTTCAATTGTGGTGCCCAGAATTGGACACAATATTCCAGGTAAAGTGGTCTAACCAAGGCGGAATAGAGCATGGGGAGCAGGACTTCCCTAGATCTAGACACTAGGCTCCTTATTGATGCAGGCCAAAATCCCATTGGCTTTTTTTGCCACCACATCACATTGTTGGCTCATGTTTAACTTGTTGTCCACGAGGACTCCAAGATCTTTTTCACACGTACTGCTCTCGAGCCAGGCATTGTCCCCCATTCTGTATCTTTGCATTTCGTTTTTCCTGCCAAAGTGGAGTATCTTGCATTTGTCACTGTTGAACTTCATTTTGTTAGTTTTGGCCCATCTCTCTAATCTGTCAAGATCGTTTTGAATTCTGCTCCTATCCTCCAGAGTATTGGCTATCCCTCCCAATTTGGTGTCATCTGCAAACTTGATGATCATGCCTTCTAGCCCTTCATCTAAGTCATTAATAAAGATGTTGAACAGGACCGGGCCCAGGACAGAACCCTGCGGCACTCCACTCGTCACTTCTTTCCAGGATGAAGAGGAAGCATTGGTGAGCACCCTCTGGGTTCGTCCATTTAACCAATTACTGATCCACCTCACCGTAGTTTTGCCTAGCCCACATTGGACTAGTTTCCTTGCCAGAAGGTCATGGGGGACCTTGTCGAAGGCCTTACTGAAATCCAGGTACGCTACATCCATGGCATTCCCCGCATCTACCCAGCTTGTAACTCTATCGAAAAAAGAGAACAGATTAGTCTGGCATGACAGAAGAATAAATAAATAAATAAAAATTAAAATAAAATAAAAATAAAAATCAATACAAAATAAAATAAGTAATAAATCATAACATAATAATAATAAAATAATAACAATAATTCCCCGCATCTATCCAGCTTTTATCCCACATTATCCACTTTGAACTGGAATATATGGCAGTGTGGAGGCAGACAACCCAGTTTAAAGCAGATATTGTGAGATTTTCTGCCTTGATATTCATTGGGCTGTGTGGAAGGGCCCCCAACCTCAAGGTCATTCTCTTATTTACAAACATTTGACATCTATTTATTTATTTTATCTCCTATGTTTCTTTGTGAGAGGACCCTAGGCAGCATACTCTAAATTAAAAGAAAGCTGAATACAACTAAAATTTTATACAAAAAAAGTTATATACTGAATTATATACTGAGAAGAGAGTCTTACTGGTTTTAGTTCCCACTCCTACTGTTATATGGGTAACACTGTTTCCTGTTTCATCAATATAAAATACAATCATGGTCCTTTCTAACTATGATTTTGAGATCAGGATAAAGCACGGTTGTCAAGTTCTTGGAAAAATTCTGTCATGCACATGAAAAATGTGATACAACATTTCTGGAGATGAATTGTGCCTCTTCCATAGTAGTTGGCAGCTGTGACAGCAAGATCAATAAATCAAAGGTATGAAAGGCCTTTCCTAATCCTGCTGTGTGTTATTCATATAAAATATGTGACACGGCTGTGATCACAAATAGGCATTATTTATGGATGCCCAGAAGTGTGCCAGTGCCAGAATATTACTGATTTCTTGATTAAATCCCAGTTGGAAGTGTAAAATGTAGACTCTATTTTCTATGTATGACTTTTATTTTAATTCTTCAGAAATAAACATATTACACTCGATCCAAGTGCAGCAGAGCATTTCTGCTGAAAAGCAAAACACAGTGTCCAAGAAAGAAAAAGGGGACACAGAAAGAAGCATAAAGAAGAGCTTAAATTATTTGCCAAGATCAGAGTGATCTATCTCTGTTTGGACAGTCCTTGAATCCTGTTTACCTTTTAAAAACTTCCTATTATCTCTTGTTTAGAGATTTGGTTGACTGCTTAACTTAGAATTCCCTGGCTTTTCATATGCTTGCTATGTTTTGTTTCTTATTGGCATTTTGTGGCTTCACAGTGAGAACAGTTATGTCTGTATTTAGCAGTTCCTTGTGTGTGCATCTAATTGCTTTTATTGCAAGAAAGTGTTGTGTGGATTCTTTTGAGAAAATTTGCAGATTTTCAGTGATTATTTTTTTATTCCTTTCTGGTTGTTTACTGATCTTGTAATTAAATGAAGTACTGGTGAACTTTCTGAAAGGGATCCCAGTTTTAATTCAGAATTTAAATCAGCTGACCTCTTTCATATCAGGAGATTCTTGATAATATTTCAGCCAGAACATTTTTAAAGAGACTATTATTGGGTGTCCCTTTTTCTTATTCAAATTTTTTCTACTCCATGCAGTCCTGATATTTAGATTCTGTTGATTTTTTTGTAAGGGATGTCAATGCAGAGGTGTAGATATATTACATTGCATCAATATCCTTTCAATTTTTGTTATCTTGCTCACCACCAGAAGATACCTGAATTAAGAAAAATCCCTAAAACTCTTATCAAAGTTCAGAAAAATTGTTATAAAAACATTAGGGGAGATGGAGGCGGGGTATACGAATAAAGTTGTTGTTGTTGCTGTTGTTTGCAATAACTTGAAGAAGATGTCATACCGAGGCTGAGAATTGTGCAGTTCACTAAATCAAATGTGTTCATTTGATTCCACCGAGCATCCAAAATTGAGGAGTGGTTGTCCATTTGGGCACACAACAACAGCAACAATATTTTCAGTCTCCCTTGAAAGCATTTTAACTAATAGTTTTTGTCTGTAATTGCATAATTTAACAGTTGTCTTTGTCTTTGAATATATTTATTTGATATTTTGTGACAAAGACTATTAGTCTAACAATGCCTTGGATGGAGGTTA